TGGGATTTTGTAATAAGAGATCATGTGATGATTAAAACGTCTTAGAACGAACAAACCAGCAGGCTGAGCACGATGTAAAACATCTGAAATATAGTTTTGATCAATCATACTACATTACTAATTACCTCAAGAATTGTTAAGAGCGTACGTGCTCCACGTCTCATGCCTTCAAACGCCACTATATGTTCATTGCGTGACGGCGTTATCTTTTAAGATGCAAATAATTTATTAAATAAAGAAAATAATTCACACAGCTTGCCCAAACGAAGCAAACACTTTAGATATTTGTCGCCAGTAAATCAGGAAGTGACAATTTGCTCCCTTTGACTCAGTGGATGGAAACGGTTCATTCGCACGTCTTTTATGTGATAATCCAGTTTTGCACATAAAATTAACTCACATTTTTGGATGGAAACATAGCAGTGATAAAATAAAATGCTATTGGCTGTATTTTAAAAAAGGGAGGAGCTACACTATGTCCCACTCTGTCTTTGTGTTTCAGATTAAGTCAAACATCAAATAAAAACTCATAATTCAAAGCACTTCACGGGACCTAAAACTACTTATTTAAAATTAGTTGATACCGTACAATTCTTCAAGTTTTTTAGGAAAACTTAATAGTTTTATGTTCAAACCACTTATATTTGTAAAAATGATTAAGTGTGCAATCACACTATGCTATCTGAACTGTGGCCACGCACATTTCCCGGTTCTTTTGACAAGTGTGAGTGCTCTGAATCAGTTCAGTTGGCCGGCCCTGGCCCGGTTAGAATTGATGTGCCAGAGCACGGTTCGGTTGGGCTTCTGGCGTGGTATGCTTGTAGTAAAGGACTGTTTCATATTGATTTATTAAGCATTCTTACTATTCAGTGAATGCAAACTGTCATTGTTTATTAAAATGCAAACTCCTCACTGCACGTCAGCTGCATCTTCAGCAAACCTTCTAGTACATGCAGCACGAGGACTTTAATGATAATTTATGAGCGTTCGGCAGAATATTTGACTGCATGTCACTGCATCCCAACGACTAAAAGGATTAACTAAAGCAATCTCCACTGTGCTGAGCGAGAGCGCTCCTCTTCCTGTTAAACTAAGCAGTCGCATCACCGATGATGTAAGCGCACTTAGGTTTGGAAGGCAAAATGCAGTGTGAGTGCAGGCTGTTGGGGTAGAAGGGACAATCACGCTTCAGCACGGTTCAAGGCAACTGTACCTAGTGTGAGTACACCCTAAGTCAACTTAATCGATTTGTGTTGGGACAACTTGAAACTGGGTGGAACCCTGCATTTTTTTTACAGTGTAATAACTTGCACCCTTTATAAAGCTGCTTTAAAACTATCAGTATTGTGAAAAGCACTATATAAAGTACTTTTAATAGTTAGAATTACATTGAATAGGGTGAACTTTGCACTACTTATAGACTTACGCATTACCGTAACCTGATGGTTTAGCATTGACTCATCGAGGTTTATTAAAGTTGAAAACAGGAGCTTTAGGGGTTGAGTTACAAGCATAAGTCACCAGTGAATCAGATCTGCTCTGCAAAAGCCACAATCAAGTATCTTGATAAACACTTTTCAACCTCCGCATAAGAAAGGAAGGACCAGAGGGAATCTGGATGCCTCTTTATTCTCTCTTCTAGTTTACCAAAGCTCTCCCGCGACTAAAACAAAGGCAGGCGCTTGTTTTCTGTCTAATGAGCAGATGATGTGTTGAAAGCGCTGTGGATGAGATATCTGATCTGGGTGTTTTGGAGAGGATCGGCGTCAGTGAGGGAGCTCAATATTTGTCATCGGGTGCGCTTCACACTGAGAATGGCTCATCAGGGGGTACAGGCTGTGTGTTTACACTTTTACAAACAAACCAGGGCAGCTAAATTATGATTATGGTTTTGCACAAAACTAAAATTAAATTTTCAAAGCTCTAATATTTGGTTAATATCAGGTTTTGGATTTTTTTTTTTTTCAGATATTAAATTTAGTGGAAAGTTTCCAAGATCATTATTGCTTCCCAAAAGAAAGATCCAATTGTGAACAGCCTGAAATGAAGTTCTAAGTATTACTAGTCTGAATTTAAGCAAAAACCGATGCATTTTTGTAATAAATTTGCATATTACATGTCCCAGGTCTTTACTGATGACTTGAAAACAATGACTACCTTGACCTATCAACACTGTGAATGAAACTGAAACCTGATTGTTAAGCTAGCTTAATGTTGTTTTTTGTGTCTAATCTAGTATTAAAGCACTTTTGAAGCATGATGGTATGGGCTGTTTATATCACTGTGTTTAAATGTGCTGAGGAAGCTTCTGGAGCTGAAATTTAGATATGGTAATGGCTGTTTGGTTTTAGGCATGCACCATTAGAGATTGACTGAAGCCCTAACCAATCAAAGCAAAGCAAACTGTAAAGAAGGTGGGGTTTAAAGAGTGTAGGTCATTGAGTGAACTGTTTAAGACGCTGTGAGAAAAGAGTTGATGCTGCAATGAATATTATAAGAAAATCGAAGTGTTTTTGATCTAATATGGATGTAAATCTACAGTAGGATGGATTTAAAACAAAATTAGAAAACTTTATATTAGCATAATAGGGATACTTTAATTTTGCACTAAAAGCTATAAAACAGACCAAGTTATTAATTAAAGCATGCATGTACACTTAAAAAATTAATATGGCAAAAAGTCATGAAAATAAATGTTTTTATGCTACTTTAACTTATTTCAATAAGTTAATCAGGTTTAATTTAATATTTTCTTTGTCAGTTTGACTAATGTCAAGTCGAGATGAAAAGAAAAGTTAATTTAAATGAAGAAAAATTAAGAACCTCTAAAATATTTTTGACCTAATATGGATGAGAACCTACAATTGGAAAGATCTAAAACAAAATCAGAAAACTTCATAAGTAAAATTTTGCACTAAAAGTAATAAAACTGACCAAGCTACTTATTATTAATAGCATGCATGTACACTTCAAAAAATTATATGGCAAAAAGTCATGACAACAAATATATATACATAAATCAGAGAATGAAATTGCATACCTTTTAAGGACTTTTTAAGACTCTTTCCTTACATTTTATGCCCTTGTCGCCGACATTTTAACTCGCAGTACATTTACTAATTACTGATTGTAAACTAATACATTATTCATATACTGAATAAAAACGCTAATCCAGCAGGTGGCGCCAACAGAAAAGCAGGAATTACAGTGTTTCCCTGGTTACTGCAGTAAACAAAGCAGTGTGATGTCAATGTGATTTCCCGAAAACTATGCAACATCCCAATATTTAAACATTAAATTCAGGCAAACTTTAGCATACTGATATGAAATTGAATACATTGTAAAATAGCATTTAAGACTTTTAAAATACTTTTTAAGGGCCTTAAATTTCTCCTAATGGATTTATCAACTTTTAATACTTTTAAGACACCCCTGGACACCTTGTTCAATGAGTTAATCAGGTTAAATTTAATTGTTTTTGTCAGTTTGATTGATGAAAGTTTAAAAGACTAGGTTCATTTGATTCAACTTAATTTAGCAGATTCATCTTTTTTACCATGTAACAAAAAATGCTCATACATCAAATATGGCATACAATCTACAAAGCAATGTTAGTGCACATGATGGATACCTTTTAAAGCAATCGTAGTGATCCTGTAAAATAACATGGAGAACCGCCCGATAAAACAGTGACTCCATCGGCAGCTGCAGCAGAGAAAAAACCCAGATAAACCACAATCCAAACAATTTTGCTTCATTTCAAATCTGATTTTGCTTATGTTTGCTTACTTATTTATCTTCTTAATGACATTATTTGAAGTGTTTGTCCCAGTTACGGGAACTTCAAAAACCCGATTGGGTCATATTTTCCATGACAATTATGTCATCTAAACAATCAGACATGGAGAAGACAAAAAAGCATGGAGATTGTTCAGGCTGACCGCTTCACCCCTGAACTCTCCCTCGCTTTTTTCGAAAGAGGAAAAATCAAATTAAAATACACAGTGCATCTAATTAAATCAGATAAATATGCATATGCTGTCGAGCCTGACCGACACCACTATGATCAGCTGTGCAAACAGTTCTGATGGGATGAGACTGCACTCCTTATATGAAAATCCTGCAGGGGAAATGGCTTTTTAATTGAAATATTAATATTAATATGATGCATGACACAATCAAGTACTCACCCCTCCTCCGGCAGACACTCTTTCCAGAGCCTGAGAAGAGAAAAAAATAGTTTGTGAAGAACTTAACATGAGCCAAGACTGCAGAAAACTAGCTTAAATTGAAGCATTGTCCATCACTTTTAATTTAATAGATAGATAGATAGATAGATAGATAGATAGATAGATAGATAGATAGATAGATAGATAGATAGATAGATAGATAGATAGATAGATAGATAGATAGATAGTTTAGTTAAATGTAGTTTAATGTTTGTTACAACATTCAGCTCATAAGCAAAGGATGTGGTTGCAGATGCGTGGGCAATGTGAGATGTTTTCGTGATGTGTGATGTACACTTACGAGACACGCCGACATCCTGGCATTTCGACCACAGAAACAGGCCTGATCTTTGAGATACTGACTCATAGGGAAACCACACACACCATCACTGGTACACCCTAAACAACATACACAAAGCAACACAACAAATAGAAAGAATCAACAAACTGTTATAAGCTATTAGTTACTAGTTAATTAGTTAAAGTTATCAGTAATTATCAAAGTTATGGTAACTAATAACCTTAAGTTTTCCGATGTGCACCTTTTGTAAAGCCACTTTGAAACAATAATTATTGTGAAAAGTTTTATACAAATAAACTTTAATTAAATTAAATTTAATCACATTTTAACATAAACCACCATTTAAAAGTTTGAGGTCATTATGTTTTGTGGTTTGATGCATTTATTGAGCAAGGATGCATTAAAGGTAAATTTATTATTTTAATACATGTAATTTGCTTTTGTATTTATCTATAACATATCACTGTTTCCACAGAAACATGAAAGGGCATGTCCGAGTTATTTATTTTATCATAAAATGAACAGATTTAGCAACTAGATTATTTATAGTATAATTAGTAATGCATTGTAATGTAATGAGGGTATTTATATAGCGCATTTATCGTGTATGGCTATACACTCAAATGGGGGGTCTCTCCACACCACCACCAGTGTGCAGCATCCACTTGGATGATGCGACAGCAGCCACAGAACAATGTCACCAATGTGATCACCACACACCAGCTATAGGTGGAGTGGAGAGACAGTGATACAGCCAATTCTATGGATGGGGATCATTGGGAGGCCATGAAGGAGAGAATTTGGCCACGACACTGCAGTTATACCTATACTCTTTACGAGAAGAGCCATGGGATTTTTAATGGCCACACAGAGTGAGGAACTCACTTTAGCGTCTCATCCGAACGATGGATAGTAATAACATTATTAATTGAAAACATTCATTCTAAAGTCTAAAATATAACATATTAAAACAAATCATTAAACTTATTTTGGATTCAATTCTAATAGTAAATTCAGATTTAATTCAGAAAAAAAAAACATTTAAACTACAAATTTATAAAAAGTAATGCAGATAAAAAAAAATCTAGAAATAAATAAATAAAATAACTATCATAAATAATTTAAATACGTTTAAATAGCACATAAACATATTTATTTGATAAATATGATTAAAATTGAAATTGGTTTACTACCTGAATGCTAAAATAAACTTCATTTGGAAAAAATTAATTTAGCACTATTTTAAAGTGCTATTTTAATTGCAAATTAAAAAAAATTAAATATATCCTTAATATATTTTTGATTAAAAAGCAACCACGGTAAACAGTAAAGACTCCTATGACAAAGGCAAATCATTACCAACTTAAGCTTTTAGAGTATGTCAAAACTAAAATCGATCTTTAAACGCTGAACATTTTGTGAATAAGAACATGTTGAGCACATGCCATTCAAACAGACCCATAGTGTGGTTTGGGGCCCATTCGTTGCACAGATAAACACTATTTACTCCAGATATCATGCTAATCTAAACCATGCCAAGCTGAACAGGATCCAGAGTCCAGCACAGGCCTGAAATATGTGCATGTGTGCGAAGCAGCAAGTAAAGAAACATGTACCGTGGCACTAACTTCATTATGAAATGCTTAACTCAAGAGTGAAGCTTGACATTGTTTTAAGACAACCAATCACCAATTTAATGACCGAAGACAACTATAAATAAGACATTCAAAAGTTGACTGCTTAACTAACGATGTTTGTGAGTGGGACTTCCTGTTTCCTGCTTTAGCTGGAGCCTTTGCGGGGGCTTTTTTTGATTTGAGTCAGCAAATGCAGGCCTACGGAGATACTAAGAAAAGTAACTCGCTGTCAAACTGAAAACATTATAGAAGTTAAATGTGCTACGGCAAGCAATAATTTATGCAAAAACTTTGTGACTGTAAGGGTGCTGCTAGTGGGACAGAAATGACCCACTTCACCTTTAAATGCACAGCATGATTTATACAGTGGAGACCAAAATTAGATAAAAGAGCAATGACTACAGCAAGAAGATTCCAATTAAAATTTCAGAAGGTTACAGCAGTCAAAAATGAGAAGGAAGTGTTTGTGTCCTCAATCTGAATGACTTCAATACATGTCAGGCCACATTAGGTTAACTAATCTCTCATAGAACATCACTAGGCATCTCTCACAACATGACTAGTCTCTCATAAGACATAACTAGTCTATTACTAGTCTATAACTGTTGTATCACTGGTCTCTCACACTGCTCTGGTGTTTCTTGCTCATTTTCAGTCTCTTCCACAGTTCAATGTGGTGTTTTTTAATCTATAACTTCTGAGTCAAGTTTAGGTCTGGACTCTAGGCTGGCCATTTCAGTGATTTTAGCCCTAAGGAACTGTTTTACCCCTTTTAACATGTTAAAGGTTTCATTGTCTTGCTTGATAACTCTGGCTGATTGGATGGTGAACACAGAGATCTTCAATTCAATCGATTTTTAAGACTAGAATGCTTAATATACTGTATATTTCCATTCGGACTCCATTTGTTTCATTACTTTTTAATTCTTGTACAGAACAAAAATGAGCCGCTGAAGCCCTGAAATCTCTGACATCATCATGTTGAAATCTCCACATGTTGTACTGACTCTTCTTGATTTACTGAGATCAAACAGACAGTCTGTTGAAGGGGAGAGTGTTTGTGATGTCAGTCCAACATTCGCACACACTTTATGCGCTTAAGTTCTGTCCCTGCAGCAACTGAGAGGCTGTGATGTGATCCCCAGGCTTTACATGACATTAAGACGTTATTGTAGTCCCGCTGTGCTACACAGCAAGGGACGCTGGCTTAATCGACAGTAATTATGTGATCAAAATATCATATTTTGTAGGCAGTCCACTCCTTTCTGCAGTGCTTGTTCTGTGAGTAAGTGTGTAACATAAAGAGAAAGACAGACAGACAGAAACCACATGCTCTTTTGGGAATAGCACCATGTCTTAAAGGGAAAGTACGCCTAAAAATAAAAAGGGATAATGTTTTGAAACATACAAATTAATAGTATGCAAAACATAAAATAACATATTCAGAAATGTCTCTATTTATTTATTTATTTATTTATTTGTCAAGTCCTTTAAATTGTTGCAGTTGGTTGAGGTTGTTTTGGACTGAATTTACATTTTCATAAGCCAACCATAAATTCACTATTTAATTAACGCTATTTAACAAACTAATGGTTTATATTGCTTTATTTTGTATATATTTTGACCCAGGATTGCCACAGAATTGTAAAAGAATAACAATTTTTTTATCTGATTATTTATTTAAAAATAAATAAATAAATAAATAAATAAATAAATAAATAAATAAATAAATAAATATATATATATATATATATTATATTTAATAATAATAATAATATAATATATTAATAATTGCTTACATTATTATTACTGCTTATGAATAAAACTACCTAATATATTAATTTATTTACCAAACAACAGCAACAATAATTACTCATTATAAAAGAATGGGTTATACATTCAGTTTTTATATAACTACTACAACATATATCAATAATAAATCAATATTACTCAACTTTTTTGTGCCCCTGCTTGGTACAGGGTTGCACATTTCTGGTAGAAACATTATGCTACGAAACACAATAACACATATCTCATCTTGTTTGAAGACCTGAACAGATCAGCCTCGGTTAAACAGTGTGTGTGAAAGTGTGTGTGTCTTTATGAACAGGATGTTTTCTTACCCGGTCTGTCCTGATCAAACTCTTCAGACAGCAGGTGGTAGCAGCAGCCCACACTACACACTGCCCGCAGCTCCTGCTTGGCCCTGAACATCCGCAGGGAGCTGGAGGCCAAATCTCCACACGTGTGCAGGCCAACCAGAACTGCATTCTGGGCACCGGCAAGGAAAAAGAGAGAGGAAAAACGTCATTTAGTGAAATCAACACAGACCGGTTGCCATCTCTCATTGATCATCATAATCTGCTACAGGACACGTCCAAGTCCTTTCCCATTCTTAAGCTCAATTTCACCCAATTAACATGATTAGGATAATCATAGGCACTTCGCTGAGCCGTAATAACAACGATACAACTTCAGCTCTATAATCAAAGCACTCAGCTGGACTATTATCGAAGCATATTGTTTCTCTAAGTTATGTATTATATCTTTCTTTTATTTCTCATAATTTTAAAACCTGTTTATTTACATTTCTTTGTTGTTGTTGTTTTAACTTTCATATACTTGTCTCTTTTATTCCTGTTTATGTAAAGCACTTTGAATTACCATTGTGTATAAAATGTGCTATTTAAATAAACTTGCCCTGTCAAGTACACATTCGTTGTTTGATTCTGAGAGAACGTCATATATAATGTCATATGTTCATTCATAACACATTTACACTGACAAATGATGCATATTTGTTCATTATGCTTCAAATAGGAAAAAAAAGATTTCTAACATATAAAACTTTTATTAAAGCCTTCAACTAGGCTGTGTGAGAAAAAATATTATGCATACAATTATTATAATAATCTGCTACAGGACACGTCCAAGTCCTTCTCCATACTGTTATTGTAGCATATTGTGCATCCTGCATTATTTTATAAGTTTAGCACACATCCTTTATTTGATCCTGAGTGAATTTCATATGATATTAATTCACATTTGAATTAATCTCTAAGATTAATATCCCTAATATAAAAAAACATTTTTAAAAGCCTTCAATTAGACTGTGTGAGGAAAAAAATTAAGCATAAACTCAAAAATACAAAACTGTCTTTAAATAATTAATTTTTTTATAATCATACAGAATTATTGTACATTTTTATTATTATATAAACAGTTTTTTAGTAGTAACAGTAATATTTATTAAACTAAATTTAAACAGAACTATAAATTATATTAATAAAAAAACATACTTTAGAAGAAGTAATAATTCTAGAATGCATTATTAAGCTGTAATAGTTAAGTATATCAAATAATATAGTTATTTTTACTAGTTCCCCATCAATAAACTAATGTTACATCATTATGATTATTATAACGTAGTTGCTATTATAAAAATATAGCTGTTTATGTAAATACTGTTAATGTTTTTAAAGTATTTACATATTTTTTTTCATTGCTGTTGTTGTAATTTTCAATAATATTATTTATAAAATGTATGCTTAATTACTTAATGTTAATATTACTTGTATATAATTATCACTATTATTATTTATTCATTCATTTTCCTTTGGCTTAGTCTCCATTTCAGAGGTCACCACAGCGGAATGAACTGATAATTAATCCAGCATATGTTTTATGCAGCGGATGGCCTTCCAGCTGCAGCCCAGTACTGGAAAACACCCATACACACTCATCTGCACACACACTCATACACTACGGCCAATTTAGTTTATTCAATTCACCTATAGCGTATGTTTTTGGACTGTGGGGGAAAGCGGAGCAGCCGGAGAAAACCCAAATGAACATGGGGAGAACATGCAAACTCCACACAGAAATGCCAACTGGCCAAGCTGGGAATCGAACCAATTTCTTGCTGTGCCGCCTCCACTATTATATTGTATACAATTTATTACGATAGTTTACACCACAACAATATTATTTATTTAATAATACGCAATAAATTCCAATTAAAAGAATGATGATTCGGGTACAATGATTCTTCCTTGGTTCCCACCACTCACCTCCAGCTCTGTGATCAGCGTCTTGAGTTCAGTTTCTGCAGTCACATACGAGGTCAGAGGTGAAAACAGGCTGCTGTTGCTGTCTTTCCTCTTCCCTTCTCTGGCTTTCCTCTCCAGATTCTCCCTCTTCCTCCTCTCCCTCTCTTCCGCACTCAGCTTGCTGGGATGAACTCGAAGAGAGACGTCCTCAATGACGTCCAGCGCCAGCAAACTGAGGAAACTGCTTCCTGAATCTGAATCACTGGGGTCTAATGGACATTCTGCAGCATTATTTGAAGCTAATAAATCCCTAGTGACTTGTTGCGATAAAGCACTGCTCTCAGTTTGTGCTTCAACCCCTTGTTTTGTAATACAGTTTTTGCTGCCATCACTTTCATTGTAGTGTTCTCTACTCTCATCATTGCTCTGCACACAGTTATTCTCAATAAATCTGTGCTGCTGATAAGCTTTGGAGAACTTCTTCAGTTTCCTATTCCTCTCTTGAGCTCCGTGTGTGTTGGTGGTAGAGGAATCAATCCCAAATACTTGTAGATTATACCGCATTGATAGATAAGAGCATAGGTAGCCTTTTCCTGAACCCACATCTATCACCTGAAAAGATAAAAAAGATGCAATTCAGAATAAAATGAATCAGTTTTTAAGTAAATAACATTAGGAAATATACTTACCTGTTTGACTCGGCAGCATTTAGCTAAACTTGCAACAACTTCAGACATCGACTGCACCTCATGAGCCTTTTTCCAGTTCATGAACTCATCTGGTGCAAGAACCTTATTTGATGACTGTCCTATGGAAATTAGAGACGATGCATGAAATATGACCTTGTAATAACCTGAATGTGACATGCATAATAATCACAATAGATATGCAGTGAATGTAAATGAGTTTTTTCAGTGCTTCTGCAAAAAAAAGTAACCTGCTGCCGTGTCTCCACACATCAGTCTCAGATTGTGCATGAGCTCCTCCAGCTGCATACAAACACCCAGACCAGGTAAACAGTGCGCTTTTGCTGCCCTCAGAAGGGCTGATATGTCCAGCAGTTTTTTGGAGGCATTGCAGAAACCAAACGTGGTGTTTTCCTTCTCTAAAAAGCAAAAATAGAAACACGTTTAATATACTCCACTTCAGTGAAGCGTTAAAAAGTAGATTTTAATTTACAGAATTATTAAAGGGGATAAAAAAATATAAATACAAAACATTCAAAAAACAAAATAAAAAAATTAACCTTTGCAGGGCTCAATATTAAGGACTGCCCGCTGGCCCGGGGCCAGCGTGCAAGATGCTCAGGACAGTATACAGAATGGTTACTGTTTGTCAATTGCGTGCTTTCATGCCCAGACGTTTGTTTCGGAACCTATCTCGTTTGCCCAGTAAGCGCAGTTCGTGGCATATGTGAATCGGTCGGACATCGCCAGAATGAGGAGGTCTTGGCTCGATTGAGCGGATTATAGTGAAACAAAACGATCCAACAAACCAGGCTATATCACAGTGTATTATGGTTGAGTAATGGCCATATATATGGCTATATGAAGAGAAAATAACAAGTAGGGCAGGATGTCATTTCTACTGGCAAATGTGCGTTTCATGTCTAATATGAAAATGAAAGCATGCTGAAATATTACCATGTGCTGTTTATCCAATGACCGAAAAAATTGACCGAAATAAACATCTAATAATTTATCTGATAATTAGGCCAATTATTTTGTTCATTTGTTTTGTTCCTTTTTTAAATTGTCAGTTGTATTTAAATAAAAGTTATACAGAATAACTAAATGGCTTTACTTCTTTTTGGTGGGGCCAGAGAAAATTTTGGCAGGGCAAGTAAAAAAATCCCAATCGGGCCAGTAGAAAAAATCCCTAGCGTTGAACCCTGCTTTGTAATGTAGTCTTCCCAACCCTTGACAATAAGTTAAATTAAAATTCAATTTGAATTATAGCAAATGTCTTAATGAGCATTTTCCCAAACTATAAATATGTATATATGTGATGTATGGTAAATAAATGCGTAAAATAATGATTTACAGTATATAAAGTTCACAAATGTCAAAAAATACTTTTTAAAATATTCATAGTTTTTTTCATAATTCAACCAATAATAATACTACAATGATCAATGGAATTGTCCAACCAAAATGCATATTTCCTTACCACTTATTTACACTCAAGTGGTTCTAAACTTTTCTTAATTTCTCTCTTGTACAAATAATAAGATATTAAAAAGAATGAAAAAAGCCAACATTCACAGAACAAAAAGCACTATGGAAGTGCGATGGCTGTTTTTCCTCCAACATATCCTTCTCAACAGATTAAAGAATACGTGTAGGATAAGTAAATGATGACAGAAGTTTCATTTAGTGTGAACTATCCCTTTAATAACAGTTAATCCGCTTTCTTACCTTCTAGCGCCCCCGTGCTGTCCTGTGTGGAACTGATGGCACACAACACATCCTCTGGGCTGACACTGATGAACGTGCTCCAAACACCCCGCGTGTAAAAGTCCACAGTGTGTGCGTTTGAGATACTTAAAGATATGGATAGAAAGTGCTTCACTTCATCTATCTTCTTTTTAACCGCCACGATATGTAGGTCATTAAAAGCCATCATTAAAAGACACAGCAAAGTGAGTAAACATCAGGGGAACTGTTAGCTGTTGACACATTTTCTGTATCTAAGGCATAAGTAGTCAAATGAAGATGTGATTCAATTTAGGCGAACTAATGCGCGGCCATTTTGGGTGTACCATGGAGCGTTGTGTTCAATGGGAGACTTAAATATATTGCCCTTACACTAATGTCGTTGTTTTGACTAGTAATGCCTTGTTGCGTCATTTTTGTGCGTCTTTACACGAGTAACATCCGTTCTGTCCACATTTTAGTGTGTGTACATGGTAATTTAACGTGAAACATGGCACCTTTTAAACAAAACGCTAAAAATAAAGGTCCGATTAGAGGAAAACAGTTTAATAACAAGTTTCAACGTGGTGGGTTGTCTCACAACGCCAAAAGGAAACGAAAATGGGTTCCGGAGGACAAGGTTTTTGATGGTAGCTTAAAAGAGGGTGAGTATCTGTGTTAAAATACAGCCATATAAATACATAAATGAATATGAAAATGCATTTAAATACATTAAAGTGAATGTACTTATGGTTCAATGACAAATCTACCATGCAATAAACATCTGTAGCACACGTGTCTAGTTCCTATTAAGACATAAGTAAATATTATAAATAAAATTACATACATTTTAAATACATTTATACATTTTTGTAATAGTATGTTGTCAGATAATTTTGGAAAAATGTCAAAATGTTTTTTTAAATAGCTTACAGTTATGCATTTAGAGAAAAAACTTTACATCATCGACGCATACATATAAAATATGACTGATAAATGGTCAATAGAGTTAAAAAAAATGGCTACTAATTTAATGTAATGTGTCCGAATATTTAATTTGCTCCTAGGTCAGGGGTTTGCATTCAAAAGGAAGGAGAAGGTAAAACATGAATACAACAAACTTCTTCGAAAGGAGAGGAAGAGAAAGCAAGAATCAAAAGTCCAGTTGCAGGAGGAATATCCTGAGCATCTGAAACATCTTTATCTGGCTGAAAGAGAACGACTAGATGAAGAAGAACAGGAGAAGAAGAAGAAAAGATGTAAAGGAAGAGCCGTAGAGGAAGACATAGAGGAAGATGATGATAAACTAAACAAGGATTTGGGTTCTTCTAGCAGTGAAAAAAACATTACAAATACATCGACTGATCAAACTATTGCTCCTGCTTCGTCTAATGAACCAGCGCAGCCTGAAAGGTATAGTAACAGCCAATGTACATGTTTATACAATTATGCATATACAAATTATAGTTAAGCTATCCATTTATATTGACTGACACGTTTTTGATTTGTCTCATCAGCTCACACAAGACCACATTTTTCCAAAGGAAACAGAACATATCATCATATCAGAAGACTAAGCAAGAATATGAGAGGATAAAAGAGGAGCGTGCACGAAAAAGAGAGGTGAGGTGGTCTAATCAGCTAATGTAAGATGATCGCTAGAGCTAAACAACACATTCACTTGTTAAGTAGTATCATGTAATTAATAAATAGGCGTATTCACTGTCCTTTAATGAAGCTTTATTATGTAAACATACACATTTTTACATTCAAGATTGTTGCATTTTTTTACATCTGTGTAGGAAATCTTAAAAGACAAAGCTCAGCGGGAAGAGGCTTTGAAGAAATACAAGGAAAAGAAAATAGCCACATATCAGTTGTTGAAAAGAAAAACCAAGAAAGGACAGCCCAATCTAAACCTGCAGATGGAGCTTCTGCTGCAAAAGATTCAAGCTCAGCGCAAATGATACAGTGTCAGCCACAAAATGAGACTGTTTTAAGATAAATAAATGGAACATCTACATTAAACTGTGCTATTTTGGTGAGTGCATTGTTTTTTGAACACAAGGATGTATATATCTTTAGCACACAATGTTGATATTTTTATAATATACAAATAATAAAATACTAAATTGTCCCATAAATCAAGGTGCCTGTAAACAATAGCAGCTACAGCAGTAAATATGATTACTTAGTATCTATAAAAATATCAATGTATCAATATTTTTAGGTAGATTATGCTGTCAGCACATGAACTGCCTAAACGTGCCTTCCTAAATAATCATAGCATTTTGCTTAATTTTCCCCCTTTCTTCTGATTGTCTTTTTAAAATTCTTTGTAACATGAAAAAAAGTTAAATATATTTTGAAATGCATTTTTATACCAATAAAAGTCAAATAGAAAAAAAAATCATATACTAAAATGCACCGTCTAGTCATATAGAAATATTAAAGAAATACATAGAAATGATGCATTAGTAGAAACAGAAGAAACTCCCAGTAGCTCCTGTAAATGTATTATGATTTCCTGAGCAGAAGTAGCGGGTTTGGGCATTGAGTTAATTGGAACCCTCTTTATTTGACTCCTCCACATCATCAGTCTGTTTTTAAAAACATAAACCAGTTCAGCTCTCATAGTTACAATTAAATCAATAAAATCTGAAAAGACCCATGTCATTTTTATTGCAGCTTACGACTGCCTAAAACTTCCAAAAAATTACATGATGATTTAATACCAATAGATGCATGTTCAGTATTAGCCTTTGATAATAAAGTGCAGTTCTGTGTGACTCACCGGTTAAACTCTGCAGGTTCTGTCCAATAATGATGACATCATCGTAAAGCTCTGGTGTGTCCACTGCACAATCAGGAAGATATAAACAGAACAAATGTTCTGACCATTAGTTCAAAAATTATTCTAAACATGCAGAGAGTAAAAGATGGACATCAATTTACTGTCTCAGTTTATACATTTAAGGATATAAAATTAATAACATAAAGACACCTGTCTCATAATCTGGTCTCAATCCATCAGTGATGACATCATCATAATATCCTGTTGTGATTTCCTTCATCGTTTCTCCTGCATCAAACATATACATACATTTTTGTGGGAAAAAAATGAAAATAGCTTCAAGCCATTGGTATTGTTGACATCATCAAATGTGTAATAGTCTAATAGGAGGAAAGTTTTCATATTTTAATAACTCTGAAGTCACTGAACATATTTAACTTAGTGATTTTACTTAAAGTATGTGATTTTGATGTTAGTTACAGTTTATATAGTTTATGCAGTGGTGTGAAAAAGTGTTTACCCTAACTGATTTCTTTATGCATGTTTGTCAAACTTTAATGTTATAAATCAGCAAAAAAATAATTATATTATTATAACACAAGTAAACACATAATGGAGTTTAGGAGTGAAGGTTTTTATTTAAGGGAAAACAAAATATACAACTACATAGCACTCTGAAAAAGTGTTTGCCCCTTAATGTAATAACTGGTTGTGCTACCCTTTGCAGCAAAAACTGCAATCAAGTGTTTTTGATAACTTTAGTGATACAGTTCATGCCACAGTATCTCAAATAGATTCAGGTAAGGATTTTTGACTAGGCCACTCCAAAGTTGCTGGTGTGCTTTGGATCATTGTCCTGTGGCAAGAAGTTATTTTACATCATATATAAAGGGACACACACTCTCCAAAACATTCAGCTTTTGTCTCGAAGTCCAGTTCAAAAGTTCTGGGAATCATCAAGAGGTTTTTTTGCAAAACTGACATGAGCAACACTCTGGCAAACGCATTTTTTCACAGAGGGCTATGTTGTTTTGGATTTTGTTTTCACTTAAGAAAAAAAACCTGTAATAAAATTTTGCATGATATATTTACTTGTGTTATCTTTGATAAATGTAAATCAGTTTGATGATCTGAACCCACTAAAGTGTGACAAACATAATGGTAAAAAAAAGGTATTTGTGAAATAGTTGTACCACTGTATGTATGTATGTGTATATGTGTATGTTTATAAAACGTTATATAATGTATATATATAGTTTGCACATCAAATAATGATATGTACTGAGTATGGAAATTTTAAAATACTCTTTCTCTCTAACCTGGAAGAAAATCGTCATCATTTTCATATCCAGAATGGAGTTCTTTAGAGATTAAACTCCCTGTGAAAGAAGAACAAAACATTAATAAAACATGTTCAAAAGACTATTGGATTGTATTGAAATATATTAAACTGAGTGATGATAAAACACAAATATTAGTTGCCTAGATTTTAAAGGCAATACAGAGAAATTATTATTATTATTATAAAATGTGTCCTTACATGAACCTATTCACTGTGTTCAAGAAATAGACACAGGAAGAGATAAACACAAACACCTGCATCTACGGTATGTACAAAAAAAATGAGCCTTTCTTATTCCCCGCTTAAAACTTACAAACACACACATGTAAACACGCACCTGCAGCTCTGTGCCTGTGGTTGTCTGTCAGGAATTCTGTGGTTTGAAGCAGGAGGTTTAACAGGCTAATAATAGATGAACATCAACTGTCTGACAGACTCTCTTACTGTACTAATCATAATAAATGAGATTAATGCTCATGTCTCACCCGTGTGAGTGAAGTGATTGTGTTTGTGCTGAATCTCCTCATAAACAGCCTCAGTGGTGGTCCTGTGTGTCCTCTTAGAGAGAGCTGTGAGTGTCGACACACAAACCTGCTGTCAGTTCACAACACATGACTGATCACACACTGAAGAAGACACAATATGACAGTCTCTGGATCTCTCCTACCTCTCCTCATCACTCTGTTCTGCTGAATCAGTATAAGCAGCGGCACTAAGAGCAATAAGAGCACAACTCCCAGTACAATCAGCAGCACTGGGGGGACTGGGAGACTTTCTGGACCAGTTTGTGGAGGAGAGACTGATGTTGAGCTCACTGTCTGAGAAACTGCAGCAGAAGATGATGCTGATGTGGCAGGAGTAGTGGACACTGATATATCCGGCAAGTCTACTAAGACAGGTTTAAAAGCATGCAAATGACTGATTAATTTTTTTTTTTACTAGAATTAAAATGATTTAAAAATCTGTCAGTGACCTGCACAGGTGAGTCCAGCGTGCTTTTTGTGGGAGCAGTCAGTGTGGTTGTTCAGGGAGAGAGGACAGTCCCACAGGTGAAGCTCAATCCCTCTGCACTGGACTCTGTTCAGCCACACAACACCTTCACCAGCACCAAAGACTGAATTCCCATCAGCCCTCAGTGCTGCTCCACAACCCAGCTGCCTGCAGACCACCTGAGCATCACTGATGTCCCAGAGATCATCACAGACTGAGCCCCACACAGCGTTATGATACACCTCCAGCCTCCCAGAGCACCGGCCGCCCCCTCCACGCAGTCTGAGAGGAACATGAGCTGAAACACACATCAACATCACTGAACTGCTTTAACACATTTACAAAAAAACACAGTAAAGTTGAAGCTGAATGCCAATTCATAATAATGTCAGAGCTAAATAAAGTAAATGGCTAATTAGGAAAATACAAATTTACATCAAGAATTAACTTTGTTTAATAAAACTTACTTGAACACTGTCTATGGTAAAGAGATGGTGACGTAGAACATGTCAAATTACTCCAAGAATCTCGAGCCTGCTCTTCTAATATATAAATACAAATAAAAAAAAAATAATAAAAAATATAAATAGAAATCTGAACAAATTATGAAATTACATTTGTAATCTGTAATTAGATCTGAATGTGTCGAAACATTGCACTTTCAAAAATTATTTTGCTCTCTCCTAATCATAATTGTTAATTATTCAGACATAAAGTAAACTTATATGTGAAGAAGCATGAATATATGATTAAGATCATATATTATTGAACTATCATCCTACCTGAGCAGCTGATTTTGGCCACTTCATATTCATCATTGCAGATATTTTGTCCCCAGGGTAAAGATGGACACTGCCACAGATTTGAATCATGTGGTCGACATGTTACTTTATCCAACCAGTTAGGAGCTGATTTAAGCCTTGATGTTGAATCAGACAAAACACCAGATCTTCCACAGTTCAGCTCTTGACAGATCAGACTCACTGTGTCTATTTCCATCTGATTCCAGCACACATTTCCCCAGGATCCATTGTAGAAAACCTCCACATTCCCTTCACAGCCCTCAGTTAACCTGATCTCTTTAAACTCTACAGTGAAACATAAGATAATTTAACTTTAAACCAACCATCTGTTATTTATTATACATATTTTATTTTTAATTTCTGCTCTCAACCAAAACTTTTATTTCAAACACTGGATCTTATATATGCTGTATATGAAGTATATATGGTTCAAATTAAGGTTAATTGAATTTTTCAAAAGCTATATACACTATTGTTTACCAGAGCAGATGACTCCTACATCCTCCTTGTGTCCACAGTCATGTTTCCCCCAGCCTGGAGAATAGCAGCTCCACAGGGACGTCTCATTCCCCTCACACTCCACCTCATCCAGCCATATGGGTCCAAAACCAGGACCAAACCAGGCTGGTACCTGCTGGTTACTGAGGGCCACTCCACACTGCAGCTGTCTGCACACCACATGGGCATCTTTAATATCCCAGGAGTCGTCACAAACTGTCCCCCATGAGCCGCTGTGAAAAACCTCCAGCCTCCCTGCACAGTCTCCCCCAGAACCCACCAGCCTGATGGACCCGCAGCCTGATATTCAGAGAAAGAGAAACACATTATTTATCAGGAACAACTCCAGAATCTGCCCAGATGTTGTTGTTCTCACCAAGGCAGGTGATTGACAGCTGTTGTGTGGAGCTGCAGTTGAGAGTTTGTGGAGAGCTGCAGTTCCCCAGATGAGCTTCACTCCCAGAGCACTGGAAGCCCATCACACACTCATGACTGTGTTCAGGACTGGATAAAGAGGAGCTCGAGAAGTTGAGCACAGAGCCACAGCCCAGCTGTCTGCAGACCACAGAGGATTCAGTGAAACTCCAGGAGTCCAGCAGAACCTTCCTCCAGACCTGCTGGATCAAAACTTCCACCTGCCCCTCACACTGACTCTCTCCAGACAACCGCACCAGACCCTCATGAAGAGCCAGAGATGAGTCTGAAGAAAAACATGAGGCAGTTTATTAATATATAAATACATGTAATTTATGTAATGTATTTTTTTCAATAAAATGTCCTCACTAGAGCAGATGACTCCAACATCTCGTCTATGAGAACGTTCAGCTCGACTCCATGAAGAGATTAAACATTCGGAGAGTTTTGTTTCATTCCCGTCACAATCAAACACATCAGCCCAGATTTCACCACTTCCCTCTCCAAACCAGTCTGATCCCACAACAGACACAGCAATCCCACAATTCAGCTGTTTACAGAGGACACTGGCAGCTCTCATATCCCAGCATGCATCACACACTGTGCCCCATTTACTGTAGTACTGACGTTCAACTCGACCAGAACAGGAGTCAGGACCATTGACCAGCCGGACATCAGTGTAACCTGGACAGAAAATTTAGGGTTGAGTGAAGAAGTGTCAATGAGATCACAAGCAAATTAAAGATTGCATTAATAAAGTAAGTTAAACTTTGAGTCTTCAATACCAGAACATGACATTCTTATGCCATTTTTATGGGTACAGTTGACTATGAATGAAGATATTGGACAGACGGATATATGAGGCTCATTTCCTCTGCAGCGAATCTCTTGTGTCCACATCCGAGCGTCTCCTTTGTTAAAAGCAGCAGCTCTCAGCACCTGTACAGGAGCCCCACAGTCCAGCTCTCTACACAGAACCTCTGCATCCTGCTGGTCAAAGGCAGTGTCACACATTGTGTGCCATGTGTTCTCTCGTAGTATCTCTAACTGCCCAGAACAGCGAGAAGCTCCAACTAGCCTGGACCCTTGAGCAGAAAGACAGCAGACACACTTGTATAACTTGTAGACTTTATAACATTCAAATAGTACATTCAATAGTACATTATTAATTATTACTGGTAAACTTCTGTCCTTCCTAAAATACAATGGTAAATTAAAAAAAAATCTCTTAGCAATATTATTATTGATTAAAGGCAGTTTGGGGTGTATACAACTTCGGACCCTCTTAAAACTTGAGAAAACATGCATAATTACTTTCCTGACCTTTTGTAATTATATAAGTAGACATATGCAAATATTTAATTATTCGATATATCATAATAATGGACTGATATCATGGCTAATCCAAATTATTGAATATAGTATATTATTAAAAACAGAATATTTACTATATATTTTTTTAAGAGTGTCTCTTAAGAATATTTAGATATTATTTGTCGTGGTGTTCATAACAGTGCCAAATGATTGGAGACTCGGCTAGCTTAATAGTCAAACATGAACATTTTTACATGTTAATCTGACCTCTTACATGCTGTAATATTGATTGAAAATTCAAGTAGACTATTTATAGGACTATTGTACATTAATACTGTGCAATAAGGCTCCAATAGTTATCATTTTATTTATCTAAACTCACAATGAAAACTATATTAAAAAAAAAAACTTTTATTAATCTTAGGTCATTAATCTTGGTTTATGCCTATTAACCTGGTAAAATGATAGTCATAATCCGATTACAAGTTGTATTCATTTTATTATATGCAATTAGTAACTAGTAAAACTCAGTTGTATTTTTAAAAGTAATATTGACATATTTATTAACATGACTTTATTTTACTATTGATTTTAAAGTATTGCTATAACATTTACTAATATTCTAAGTTCAGTATTGTTTTTTTTAATTTATTTTTGCAAATTATTAGTAACCATTTTTATTTGACTTTTGAGAATTTCGTTGCCAATTTGTCTTGATTAAGTAATAGCGAAAGCAAAAATGCTGATACAAATTGCAATAAATTGTCCTGTCATTTAAAAAAAGAATTAAATAACAGGACATTATTAGATCATCATCTTCACATATGTTTGGTCACATGCTGCTACCATTAACTAATATGACAATATTTCAAGAATCATTTATATATGACATTTTTATTTCTCCCCAATGAGCCTCATTCAGAGACTAGATATAGTAAAAAACTTTCTGTAGTATTCAATAACACAATATAACAGTCTGTAAGTCAGAGGAGCTAAAAAAACTGCATGATTTGACAGTTCAAAGTTCTGTCATTTTTGCTGTAGAAACAACAGAATATTAATTGGGATTACCAGAGCAGATAACCCCAGCATCATCAGCATGATTAGCCTGATGTTTTCCCCAACCAATTGATCGACAGTCCTTTAGTGCAGATTCTGCTCCAGTACAGATCACATTAATAATCCAGACTTGTCCTCGCCCTTGGCCAAAGTAGGCCTGCTTAGGTGCACCTACAGCCTCTCCACATCCCAGTTCTCTACATACCACTGTAGCATCAGCCATATCCCAGCCAACATCACTCACTGTTCCCCACTGACCACTATGATAAACCTCCACTCGACCAGCACATGTATTGCCACTACCCACTAATCTTAATGTTTCTAATAAAGGAGAAAAAAAAACTATTTTAGCACGGTGGAATTTACACAAATATATGATTTTGAATCAAAATTGTGGGTTCCTACCAGAACACACAAGTCCAACATTACTGTTAGAGGAGCAATTGCTGTGAGAAGATGATACAGGACAGAAAGCAAATTGATACTCATTTCCTCTGCAGTGAATCTCTTGTGTCCACATCTGAGTGTCTCCTTTGTCAAAAGCAGCAGCTCTCAGCAACTGTTCAGGAGCCCCACAGTCCAGCTCTCTACACACAACCTCTGCATCCTGCTGGTCAAAGGCAGCATCACACACTGTGTACCTTGTGTTCCCAGAAGGCACCTCTAATCTCCCTGAACAGCGAGAATTTCCAACCAGTCTGATGCCTAAATCTACAGGAAATATACATGTAAATCATTATAAATTAATGCCTTAAAATATTCAACAAGTTCTATACTGTTAATAACTTAAATGCTATTACAATGTTTTAATTGCCAACACACACTTCTGAGTAACTGAGCAACTGTAATTTTTATGTGGCTTACCTGAACAGATAACACCAATATCCTCAATATGTTTACAGTCATTTACACCAATCTTTCTTCGTAGGCATTTAAATATTGAGGATTCAGATCCACTACACCTCACATCATCCATCCAGATTTTTCCTGATCCAGGTCCGAAGTGAGCAACACGCATTGTATCTGAAGTATGGGTACAGTTCAGTTCTCTGCACACCACTGCAGTGTTTGTCAAACTCCAATAATCATCACACACAGTTCCCCACCGTCCATTATAATAAACCTCTAATCTACCAGCACAGGAATTCTTACCACCAACCAGCCTCACGTTTGCTGTAGACAAGAAATAGACAATAATGTAAAAAGTAACAGCAGATAACAACAACAGATGCTGAGCCTAATACTGAAGGAAGAAAAGCAGAAATTTGCCCTTAAAAAAAGGAACATTTAGATTAAAGCAAATATTAAACATAAAAAAGTTAATTTTATAGTCTATCACTAAGTAAAATGAACTCCCGCATGAGTGTATACATACCAGCCCTCGTTAGTCTCAGCACAGTAGACAAAAAAATCCAAATTAAAAATCTCCCCATCTTCACTGATCATACACGCTGCTTGATAAACTCAGAAATGAAATGTTCAAGAGACAGAGCCAGATGAGTTCACAAGCACCAAACAACAAGCCAATCAAAGTCACTTTTACCTTATTAGACAGAGGAGAGGAAATCATCAAAAAGTTTCATTGACAAATCAGAAGGCGTATTTATGATTCTTACCATATTTATTAAAAATACGTCAGCACCGATGAAAACGACTCCTCCTCCACCTAAGAGAGACACTTGACTGGGGAGAAACATACAAGAAAGAGGGGTGACAGAGTGACATGTACAGGAAACTGATTACAGTCACATGAAACATTCCAGTTATTTACAGCATCAAAGCCCAGCACCTGCATACAAACAAATACAAGCACTGATTGACAAACAGATTGCTGCATGCTTCTCACATTAATGATTTCAAAACATTAGTAGACTACTAAAATTAAACACAACATTTTAACGATCATATTTAATTATTATAAAATATTTAGAAGTATTTCTTAGCAATATATCATGTTATCCGACTACTCAACATTTTGCAAATGAAGGAGAAGCGAGCATTTTTTAAATTAATATTTTTACAAATAAAAAAAAGGGGGGGGGGGGGGGGAACAGCAAAATATTCCTATGGTCATACAGAGTTATTCACCAAGGAGAAAGTTTGTGATCATCACTGCAATACCTACCTATTCCTGCGGGCGGCAGTAAAAGACTAGGCCACAGGTGTCAAACTCAGTTTCAAAAGGGCCGCAGCTCTGCTTAGTTTAATTCCAACCCTAATTAAACACACCTGATCAAACTAATTGAGTCCTTCGGGCTTGTTTGAAACCTACAGGTAAGTGTGTTGGAGCAGGGTTGGAACTAAACTGTGCAGGGCTTCGGCCCTCCAGGAATTGAGTTTGACACCCCTGGACTAGGCCGACTGTTGTCTGTGAGACTGTGCCTAAAGTTTTACTCATACTTCATTCATTTTCTTTTCGGCTTAGTCCCAATAATAATCAGGGGTCGCCACAGTGGAATGAACCGCCAACTTATGCAGCATATTTTTTACGCAGCGGATGCCCTTCCAGCTGCAACCCACCACTGGGAAACATCCATACACACTCATTCACATACACTACGGACAATTTTTTAGCCTACCCATTACTCATACTTGACCAAGGTAAACTGATTTTTTCTTATAATACTTCAGTAACAAAGTCACAGTTTCAGTTTTCTGTTTTACAAAGAAGAATTCATTTTGGCCTAATTCATAGATCATTTTGAGGGATGTAAACAAAAACAATGGTCCCAACATGTTTCCTCTTTTACATTTTTAATTCCTATAGCTTCCGAGAATTTAAAAAGCGACACACATTAATAAATAATGTTATGACAGCTGTTTTAACATTAAGTTATGATGAATTGCTTCTTATTACAGTTATAAAAGAGTTTAATAACAAGCAGGAAATGTTCATGGGCCAATGACATGGCTACATTGAAACTTTTTATATTTTTTGAAGGGGCTTTAAGCAGGCACTTATCGCTGAGTGATGCAATCTCAGCTTGCATCATAAAGGCTGCATCCAGATACTATTGGGGCACTTCTACCCGAGTCTACAGCTGAAAGAACACACTTTAATGATGCAATAAATCAGACAGAAAAGTTTAAGGCATGCCTTAATATTAAGAAATATCAATATTTTGAGAATATTTTACGGCCCATGACTGTGTAGTTTCAGTTTAGTTTTATGGTGCAAACTCAAAAATCAAACACGTTTTGAGGGGTTTCTTTATAAATATACGATTGTGGTTTTTTGTCCCATTTTTAGCTTTACATTTGTTAATTAGTGACGTAAATGACAATTACTTATTTTACTGTTTGGTTTATTAACTGTATTATAGGCATAGGAGTGGCATCAGAATGTAAGGAATAATTGATGACAGGCTGTTACACCTTATCTCATTCATTCATTCATTACTTTTCTTTTTGGCTTAGTCCCTTTATTAATCTAGGGTCACCACAGCGGAATGAACCACCAACTTATCCAGCATATGTTTTACTCAGTGGATGCCCTTACAGCCGCAACACAACATTGGAAAACATACACCCTCATTCACACACATACACTACGGACAATTTAGCTTATTCAATTCACGCAAGTCTTTGGACTGTGGGGGAAACCAAAGCACCCGGAGGAAACCCACGTGAACACGGGGAGAACATGCAAACTCCAGACAGAAATGCCAACTGACCCTGCTGGGGCTAGAACTAGCAACCTTCTTGCTGTGAGTCAATCGTGCTACCCACTGTGCCACCGTGACGCTCCACCTTATTCTCTAATAAGACAATTGTTAGGTACTAAATTTGGACACTTTAGGAACTTATATGCACCTGCATTAAAGGTACAAAAGCAGTGACTGGGGTTGACCTTTTCAAAACATACTCTTTTGTACATTTTAGGTAAAATATGTAAGCTACCTAAAATGCAGGGGGATGCCACAGACCCCAAATATGTCTTTGAGCAAGGGACCATAAAATATGAAGATATCTATTGGTTTAATTTATACGGTGAAATAAAATAAAAAGGTGTCTAAAATATTATTTGAATTATATTTTGTTCCAGTAAGTTAAAATATTACATGCTCATCCTACAAGCTGTTCTGATAAAAACCCTTTCTGGTAAAAATGCAAAATTTAATTTGACAAAATCTTTAAAAAAAGTACTTAAATAAAATTATAAATATTTTGGACAAATACTAAAATGCTAATTCTTAAATTTATTACTGATATTTGCAAATCATTTGATTTATTATATATATATATATATATATATATATATATATATATATATATATATATATATATATATAATTACATTAAACATCATTTATGCAAAAGTAATATAAGAAACTCTCAGTATCTCCAGTAAATATAATGTGATTTCAGCAAAAGAGACCGTGGGTGTGGCCACTGGTCATATGAGCCCTCCCTCTTTAGGTGACTCCTCCTCTACATCATCATAGTCTGTAATAAAAACTAAAATCAAGCTGATAGTTTTCAATCTCATAACTGCATCATTATTTAGATTTTAGAGTTTAAAAGAGCAAAAATAAAACAGATATAAGATATAAAAATGTTAAACATACCCAAGAGGTTTCTCTCATCTTCACTGTTGTTCTTCACATCATCATACTCTTCCTGATCTCCCTCTGACACAATTAAACCACATACTATAATTTGCTTTCACTGAACTCTACCCACTTCATGACTGTCTGAGAGTATTACATTCAGCACTGATAAAGCCATGAGGATTCACTAATATAGAAATGCATGTTTAGTATTAGCTGTATTGTCTGTTTGACTCACCTGTTAAACGATCAAGGTTCTGTCCATTAATGTTGACATCATCATAATGCTCTGGGTTGTCCACTACACATACAGGAAGATATAAATAAACAAAATGTTACATCATCAAATCTGTACTGAGCATCACTTTGTCCTATTAATAATAGTCACTAAATAATATAATTTAATAGTCCTAAACTGTTCAACAACAAAACAATTATGGATTTAGTTTTTCACTTCAGTATTGACTGTTGTATAGCCCACTTTAGAAAACCAACTTTTCTGTATAGTTTACTTTTCTAAACCACGTTCCTGGCGGACCACCAGCTCTGCACATTTCCTTGTCTCCTTAATCAAACACACCTGATTCAGATCAACAGCTCATTAGCAGAGACTGAAAGACCTGTCATGGGTGTGGCAGACAAAGGAGACATCCAAAACATGCAGCGTTGGTGGTCCTCCAGGAACGTGGTTGAGAAACACGTGTTCATAAGTCAAATGACCAACAGTAGCTTTCAAGTCACCATTACAGATTCCCAAATCCTCTCCTGTGGCATTTTCTTGTACTTCTCTGTCTCTCTCTCTCTCTCTATATATATTTTTTTTATTTGTACTAACATTTATTATATATTCAGAATTTTACATATTGTAATCTATGTTCAATACTTGACAAATAATAATAATTAAATCCTCTCCTGCGGCTTCGCTTACAGGTACTTGCTGATGCCATAAAAACTTGTTATACTTTTTATTATGTTTTAATGACTCAAAACTGATTAAAGACATTTATGCTACCTGAGCAATTTACGTCTATTGATCAGCCTATTAGCCCAAGTTATAACTGAACAGTTTTTGAATGTGCATCTATGCTCATTAAAAACATCTAAAGTACTGTTCAATTAAATATGCATTATTGAATTTATGTATATATAATTAAATGTACATAAATAAAATCCAATATAGTGGTGTGACTAATGTATATACACTTAATACATTCAATTCACCTTTGATACTATATATATATTATATATATCTTTATATTTGTTGCCATTGATGGCTTCATAAACAACTTTTACCCTTTGTCCTGCACAATAAAAAAAAAATAAAAAAGACAGAAAAAAAAACATGAAACATTTTGTCACTCATGATTCTTTATTATTCTAGCATGTAAAACGTTTGGACCTCATAAGGCACCACCCAGTTCTGCTAAAGATAACATTTTGCAAAATATAACATATATATAATAAAGATAACATTGCACTGATAACAATGAAGATGAACAACAATGCCAGTATTTAGCTAAAAACCTAGCCAAGATAACTTTAGCAGACTAGCACATACAGTATATTTGTTTGCTCTATTCATTCTTCTTATATGACATTACATTCATTCAGAAAAAGTCAGCCAAATCAAGCCAACATTTGGCACAACACTTGCTAAAATTTTATGTTTCACACACAGAAAAAGTTAGAGTACCTGTATTGACATTCATTGACATTGACATTTTCACCTGTAAAAGCCTAATAAAGGCTACAATATATAAAACAGACAGACAGGCAACGAACAAAAATATTAATAAATAAAATACATGTTTAATACACAACTATAGCAGTTTCAAAGCAGGATTCTTTAGGAACCTACAAATTCTACTATGATTTAGTTTACAACAATTTCTGCTAAGCATAGATGTGATATTTGATGGATGTGTGGCAACCATGTATTTTAATGATCAAATATTGCAAACACATGCCAGCTGTCAAATGTGAGGCAAAATAGATAAATAAAATTAGAGTTGGTCACCTAATTATTGTGTTTGTTTTATTATTATTTATTATTGTGTATTCATTTTCAGTGGGAGAGATTTAAAGCAAATAAAAGTTTAAATGCGATCAACATACTGAAATATAAGACAGCAGATAAAACAACATTTGTTGCAACATTTCTAAATATGGATTAGTTCTGAACATGTTTATGTATAGAATCAGTTCAGTTGTAAGATGCAGTAAACAGCTATTACTAGCTATTAGCTATTACTAGCTATTACTAAATACTAGGGTGGTGGTGGTCAATGATAAGAATCTGAACGAGTAAAAGTTCATTTAAAGCTGTTTTGTCTTTATGAGCAAAGTTTCATGACTTCCCACCATTTCAATAGACCTAGAGGACTGGTGAAATCATTTTGAATTACAAAGAAGAGAGCAAAAACAAAGTAAATACAGAGGATATTCTTAATAAACCACAATAAGAAAACAAAATGTTTTCAGTTTACATGTAGAAAACTGACTAAAATTTATCGGTAGTTACTATTAATCTGCAAACAAACCTAATAGTATGCAGCATTAAAACAGCCTGCAGTGATCTCTTAAAAGTGTTGGTGGGTTAGACTTTAACAGCCTGTTTTTTTTGGCTCCTTGTTTAATTAATCATAGTCTTCTGCTAGAAAACAAAAGAAAAATACATGCAATTTAGCAAAGTATTTTAATAAGCGCTCTATATATAAATAGAGATATATAAAATATTAGAGAGAGTGAGTTATTAAAATTAAGCAGGAGATTTTCAATATGAGGTGAAGCAGGTCACAATAACCTACCAATCAAGTATCTTGAACCTTCACCGAGAGTCCTCGCATCATCATAATCCTCCAGATCTTCCTCTGATTTAAATATCTTAATTATTATTTACATAAAGATATCATACTTTAATATACAGTTATGTAAAGTATAAAATCACACATAATAATTAAGTCTATATAATTTTTATTGCTATTTACAAAAAAGACAAATATTGTAAAGCTCACACCTTTGTTATTATTGGAGAACTGTCTTATGATGATGACATCATCATAGTTTTCTAATATCAAGTAAACGAAGTAAGGAGGATTAAAAAAACATCTATTATTGCCAGTTTTGTATTTTGAAAAAGCCATATTAGTAATTGCAAAATGACAAAAAACATACAAGATATTTAATTAATATTATTAATAATTAAAGGAATAAACCTGTAGCATGATGTCTTACTCCAACAGTGATTACATCATCATAAGTCTCTGGGGTGATCTGCTGCTCTTCTAAAGATTTATCAACAAAGAGACCATAGAAAGAGGATTGTAGGCTCCCAGAACAAACCGTTTATGAAAGTATGTCAACTCACTGTGGGTAGTTAATATATTTTCTGACCTTTTAGGCTTTTAGGGGTTGTGACATCATTATAATAGGCAGGTGTGACTCCTTCTGTAGATTCTGAAAAAATAAAAGTTGCCATATATTAAAGTTAATTATATATATTTTAAAGTTGCCAATGTAACCCCGCTGGTCCTACAGCACCCAATCCGCTCCGAACTGGGATTGAACTGGCAACTTTCAGTTGCTCTAATAAGGAGGCTAAAGACCATGGCCTTGTCTGTCTTTGGAGCACCTTTAGAAGTCAGAGGAGGGAGGTTTACTGTACCTGCACAACACTTCACTAGCTGGCCTCCGCTACACCAATAAAAAAAATTGGCACAGACAGACAGACAGACAGACAGACAGACCGACAGACAGACCGACAGACAGGCAGATATACAGACAGACAGACAGACCGACAGACAGACAGACAAAGACCCCTTACCTGAAAGAAACTTCTCAACATCTTCATACCCAGAATGCTGTTCTCCTGAAGGCACTATTCCTGCTATTGTTAAGCAAATCAAATTGAATCTATCAAAGAACTGTCTATAACATCTTATATAACAATTATATGTCTCTCAGTCTAAATTGAAACCTCAATAAATATTTAACTGAAGTCCACTTTGAAGAATTAAAACCAAAATGCCAATGCAATTTAGCATCTGAATAAACCACTCTACAAACCAAGATCTAAATGTCTCACCGGCCTGAGTGAAGTGATTGTGTTTGGGCTGAATCTCCTCATAAACGGCCGCAGTGGTGGTCCTGTGTCTCCTCTTAGAGAGAGCTGTGAGTGTCGACACACAAACCTGCTGTCAGTTCACAACACATGACTGATCACACACTGAAGAAGACACAATATGACAGTCTCTGGATCTCTCCTACCTCTCCTCATCACTCTGTTCTGCTGAATCAGTATAAGCAGCGGCACTAAGAGCAGTAAGAGCACAACCCCCAGTACAATCACCAGCACTGGAGGGACTGGGAGAGTTTCTGGACCATTTTGTGGAGGAGAGACTGATGTTGAGCTCACTGTCTGAGAAACTGCAGCAGAAGATGATGCTGATGTGGCAGAAGTAGTGGACACAGGCAAACCTGTCAAGTCTATTAAAACAGACTCAAAATCATGCATAAATTAAAAATACTAAAAGCACTTTAATAAAAAAATCTGTCAGTGACCTGTACAGGTGAGTCCAGCGTGCTCTTTGTGGGAGCAGTCAGTGTGGTTGTTCAGGGAGAGAGGACAGTCCCACAGGTGAAGCTCATTCCCTCTGCACTGGACTCTGTTCAGCCACACCACACCTTCACCAGCACCAAAGGCTGAATTTCCATCAGCCCTCAGTGCTGCTCCACATCCCAGCTGCCTGCAGACCACCTGAGCATCGCTGATGTCCCAGAGATTATCACAGACTGAGCCCCACACAGCGTTATGATACACCTCCAGCCTCCCAGAGCACCGGCCGCCCCCTCCACGCAGTCTGAGAGGAACATGAGCTGAAACACGCACATCAGGCATCACTGAGCTGCTGAAGTGCAATAAATGATGATGGTCACTTTAGTGAAACAAAAAATATTTAGTGCCCAAGTGCACATATAAATAATTTAAGATGAGAAAAAAACATACAAGAATATACTGTACATACTTGAACATCGTCTCTGGTGTGGAGTTGGTGAAGTAGAACATGACAGATGACTAAGTGGAAACTCAAGACTCTTCTCCTCTGTAATTAAAATATTGACATTTCCGAACATCCTTAACTAGAATATTAAACATTATAACAATATATAAAATATTTATACAAATATGATGAATTCAGAAAATAAACTAAATATCATTTTACCTGAACAGGTGATCCTTGCCACTTCATCACCACAGTCTTTTAGTTCCCAGGGTGCAGATGGACACTGCCATACAGAGGAGTCATGTCGTCTACATTTAACAAAATCAAGCCAACTAAGGGTTCTCAGTCCCTCTGAATTACTGGGTTCACTGCCAGATCTTCCACAGTTCAGCTCTTGACAGATCAGACTCGCTGTGTCTCTGTCCATCTTGTTGTAACACACATTTCCCCAGGATCCGTTATAGAAAACCTCCACATTCCCTTCACAGCCCTCAGTTAACCTGATCTCTTTAAACTCTAGAGGAGAAAGGAAGAAAACACTCATATTGTCCACTCAGTAATATTACATTAGGCTTTAACATGCGTGTATGTACTGTAGATTGTAGATTCACTTATATTAAGTGTAAGAAAAATCATTATAGTCATTCATTTGAAAATCAGATTATACCGGTCACACAACATTTTAATGCTATTTATTGCTATTACCTATACACAGTTTATTAAAATCTATTATTATACTAAAATCTATTATTATACTAAATTCTATTATTCTTCTTTCCTTACCAGAGCAGACGACTCCTACATCCTCCTTGTGTTGACAGTCATGTTTTCCCCAGCCTGGAGAAGAGCAGCTCCACAGGGACGTCTCATTCCCCTTACACTCCACCTCATCCAGCCATATGGGTCCAGAACCAGGACCAAACCAGGCTGGTACCTGCTGGTTACTGAGGGCCACTCCACACTGCAGCTGTCTGCACACCACATGGGCATCTTTAATATCCCAGGAGTCGTCACACACTGTCCCCCATGAGCCGCTGTGAAAAACCTCCAGCCTCCCTGCACAGTCTCCCCCAGAACCCACCAGCCTGATGGACCCGCGGCCTGATATTCAGAGAAAGAGAAACACATTATTGATCAGGAACAACTCCAGAATCTGCCCAGATGTTGTTGTTCTCACCAAGGCAGGTGATTGACAGCTGTTGTGTGGAGCTGCAGTTGAGAGTTTGTGGAGAGCTGCAGTTCCCCAGATGAGCTTCACTCCCAGAGCACTGGAAGCCCATCACACACTCATGACTGTGTTCAGGACTGGATAAAGAGGAGCCGGAGAAGTTGAGCACAGAGCCACAGCCCAGCTGTCTGCAGACCACAGAGGATTCAGTGAGACTCCAGGAGTCCAGCAGAACCTTCCTCCAGACCTGCTGGATCAAAACTTCCACCTGCCCCTCACACTGTCTCTCTCCAGACAACCGCACCAGACCCTCATGAAGAGCCAGAGACGAGTCTGAAGAAAAACATGAGGCAGTTTATTAAGATATTAATACATGTAATTTATTAATTTATTCTAATAAAATGTCCTCACTAGAGCAGATGACTCCAACATCTCGTCTATGAGAGCGTTCAGCTCGACTCCATGAAGAGATTGAACATTCGGAGAGTTTTGTTTCATTCCCGTCACAATCAAACACATCAGCCCAGATTTCACCACTTTCCTCTCCAAACCAGTCTGATCCCACAACAGACACAGCAATCCCACAATTCAGCTGTTTACAGAGGACACTGGCAGCTCTCATATCCCAGCATGCATCACACACTGTGCCCCATTCACTGAGATACTGACGTTCAACTCGACCAGAACAGGAGTCAGGACCATTGAGCAGTCGGACATCAGTGTAACCTGGACAGAAACACTCTTACTTAAACATAATAGAATAGTTTATGGTAAAAAGAGCACAGATAACAAGAGTAATTGTTAAATTATATCTGTTAAATGGTATTAGAGAGTTTACAAGTATGATTACATGATTAACAATGTATTTATTTATAACGATGTTGAACATTTATACCAGAACACATCAGTGCAACATCACTGACATTGGTGCAGTTCATTTTAAGTAGTCCTGATGTTGGACAGTGTCGAATAATTGACTCATTTCCTCTGCAGTGAATCTCTTGTGTCCACATCTGAGCGTCTCCTTTGTCAAAAGCAGCAGCTCTCAGCACCTGTACAGGAGCCCCACAGTCCAGCTCTCTACACACAACCTCTGCATCCTGCTGGTCAAAGGCAGCGTCACACACTGTGTACCAGGTGTTTCCACGAAGGACTTCTAATCTCCCAGAGCACAGGTGAGGTCCATCAGCAAGTCTCGTAAATCGTCCATAATTTATGGTTTCTGGTCATATTTACACAACACAGAAACCATCTATCAGTATGATTATATTTAAATCTAATTGTTTAATAATATATTTTTAAACAGATGAAAGTGAGTAGTTTAAACTATTAAAATACATTTATTTCAAACTGCATACATTGAATGAAAGAATGATCAGTCATGCATTAAGAGAGTTGATATATGAAGCAGCTCACCTGAGCATCTGACTCCAGCATCATTAAAAAGACCACAGTCATGTTCACCCCATCCTCTTGAACTACAGCTCTTCAGTGTTGACTCTGATCCACTACAGGAAACATCATCCATCCAGATTTCACCTGAACCTTGTCTAAAGTAAGCAGAACGCACAGCTTCTAGAGGTTCTCCACAGCCCAGTTCTCTACACACCACTGCAGCATCAGTCATATCCCAGTAATCACCACACACTGTTCCCCACTGACCTCTATGATAAACCTCCACTCGACCACTGCAGGAACTGTCACCATCAACCAACCTGACCAGTTCAAAATCTAGGCATGAAAGAGAAAGAAATGAATCAGTGTTACTTAGTCCATGGGAAAACAGGCTTTTAATGATTTGCTGTGGGTTGTAATTTTAATTTTACAGTCTTAAAATAAGATTATAACACTTATTTGAAGTATTGTATTTAGTCAAAGTATCTCAAAGGTGACCTTTTATGACCTAAATCACTTTTATGAGGGTTTTAAACACAGTTGTGAGCAGGGGCGGACTGGCCATCTGGCAATTCTGGCAAATGCCAGAAGGGCCGGACCATTTTTAAAATGTGGGCCGGTCAGTTTTTTATTTTTATTTTAATATTATTTTTTATATGTATCGTTTTTACATGCAGGCAGCTTTTATCTTGTGCAACATGTGAATATTATGATGACGTTAGTGATGGTAATAATAGTAATAATGATAATAGTAAATGTTAAGCATTTGGCCCAATCGGTGATGGTTTCGAGAGGGGCCGACTCAACCAAAGGTTAGGCGGACATAATCAAAATCTGGCAAGAATGTCAAACAAACAGTAGCCTACGTATGGTAATGTGGGCTGGTGTGGCTATAGTGCCAGGGCTGAATTTTTGTCCCAGTCCATCCCTGGTTGTGAGAACCACATTGTGTGAGTACAGCCAGCCTCTAATGGTAAGATTTAATTCATTATACGGTGACGCAGTGGGTAGCACGTTCGCCTCACAGCAAGAAGGTTGCTGGTTTGAGCCTCAGCTGTGTCAGTTGGTGTTTCTGTGTGGCGTTTGCATGTTCTACTTGTGTTCGCATGGGTTTCCTCCGGGTGCTCTGGTTTCCCTCACAAGTCCAAAGACATGCGGTACAGGTAAATTGGGTAAGCTAAATTGTCCACAATCTATGTGTGTGAATGACAGTGTATGGATGTTTCCCTGTGATAGGTTGCAGCTGGAAGGGCATTCGCTGTGTAAAATATATGCTGGATAAATTGGTGTTTAATACCGCTGTAATTAATTATAATTTTTATAATCACACTTCACAAAAACAGTCTGCAGAAACACTTTGATTGATATTCTCTCTTTGTACATCTCATCAGAGGGGGAACAATCTCTCTCTCATTCGCGTTAACAGCTGAGTGAGAAGCAGCCGTCCACCATTAGAGTTTTCTTATTTTGTGTGAAAAGGTCTTAAAACTAGAGTTATAAACAGGAGAAATCGTCTTAAATTAAGAATTAATATTATATATTTTGTCTTAAAACTAGCCAAAGCATTAAAACTTTAAAGAAGAATATTGTATGAATTAAATCAGGATCACACATATTTGCACATTGTCCACAATTTGTTAATCGAATTAACTTGACAATACTCAAAATGCTAAATTATTACTTGTTGCTTTTCAAAATACTGAAGCTTACTTCAACAAAACATAACAAGATGTGCTTTGTTACTAAAGTTTGAGTGTGATTGAGCGATTGTTTAATGGAAAACCTTAAAACAAGTTATTACAGCAAAAATAATGTTGTAAAAATACAAGGCTGCTCTTAAATTATGTCCCTGGCTGTAATTAAGCTAAATTTGCAGGTAAAATTCCTCTTTAAGCTTTACTAAATAAGAAAGAAAACTCTTACTCATTCTGATCTTGCATATATTGTACTTTTAAAACAAGATAAATAATAATTCTGGGCTAGAAATAGGATTGTAATTCTTGACTAGATAAGGAGTTTTTGAAGTGTGGCATATTTTGAGTTTTGGTACTATTGGGATATAAATTTGATTGCTCCTTAAGTTAGTTTTAGGTTAGATAGCTGTGGGGATTAAAAAGGATTGCATGCAGTTCCGATTACAACTGCACCAAGTCTGCATCCAGACCCCTCTCGAAACTATGGCTAATTTATAAATAAAAATCTATTTGAATCCTTTATCTTTACAGGAGTTTTTGCATTGTAAGTATAAACAACAAACCATCAAATTACTAACTTTTATACACATCAACTGTACAGATGTGACATTAATAAAAACACTGCTATCTTGTGATTTGAAATATTTTTAACAATATAATTTTTTGATGTCATCTTTTACCTGAACATTTTAATTCTACATAGTTTTTTTGAGAGCACTGTGTGTCATTTGTGGTTGAACATAATCCAATATGAGACTCGTCTCCTCTGCAGTGAATCTCTTGTGTCCACATCTGAGCGTCTCCTTTGTCAAAAGCAGCAGCTCTCAGCACCTGTACAGGAGCCCCACAGTCCAGCTCTCTACACACAACCTCTGCATCCTGCTGGTCAAAGGCAGCATCACACACTGACATCCATGTCTGATTATGAAGGATCTCCAACCTCCCAGAGCAGCGAGAACCTCCAACCAGCCTGACTTCTAAAGAAAAATAACAAAATAAGAAACAATGACGCTTCTTAATAAGATTTATATTCTCCTGGAGCACACGTGAGATCAATCAGCAAAGGTTTATACATTTATTTATCGAAGACAGTCAGTCACAATAATTCAATTTAGTGCTTTTAATGCAGTACACTGTTTATGAGATGTTAAAAAAACTTTATGATTAAATTTTTGTTAAAATAATAATTTTCTAATTGTATTTTATGTGTTTATGTAAAAAAAATGATTAGGTATGCATTAACAGAATGGTGTATTGATCAGCTCACCTAAGCAGATAACCCCAGCATCTTCACTATGACCACAGTCATGTTCACCCCATCCTCCTGAACTACAGCTCTTCACTGTTGACTCTAATCCACCACAGGCCACATCATCCATCCAAATTTGACCTGTTCCTTTTCCAAATACAGCTTCACCCAGAGCATCTACAGCCTCTCCACACTTCAGTTCTCTACAAACCACTGCAGCATCAGTCATATCCCAGCCATAATCACACACTGTGCCCCACTGACCATCATGATAAACCTCCACTCGACCAGCACAGGCACTATGACCACCAACCAACCTCACAGTCGGAAAATCTGTACAAAAAGAAAAGAAATTAAGCCAGTGAGCAGTAAATCAACACCTTATCAACTGCAATTAAAACATTACCTTTGAGAATACTTGAGAATGTAAATTTTAAATGTCAATTTAAAGTTTACTTAAATACTAAACTGAACAACTAAAGTCGGGGAAAAGCTACGCGCTCCTCTAAGAAAGAGATTTTCACATCATCTTATTATTTCACTGGTTGTCTATAAATACTTTACTCAATTATTAGAGATAATTTATAGTTTTGGTTTTTATACATTACACAGATATTAAATTCAGTTTCTTGTATTATGAGACCATCAGAAATAAACTGCTCATTTAAATTAATCATTTGAACTAATGTCAATTTTGTACTTACCAGATGTGGTTATAGTAATTATATTGAAGATTAAAAGAAGAGTAAAAAGTCTCTCCATCATCCGCTCCTCTGTTCAGACTGAAGAAAGTTACTCCTGTTAGCTCCTAAAGAGAGAGAGAGAGACTCACAGCTGCCAATGACTCTCACTGTTACCTTATTAGACACAACAGAGGAAATCATCAAACACAATCAGTGACAAATCAGAAAGCAGCATTTGAATTTTCTCCATATATATCAATAAAGTGTGAGCGCTGATGAGCGGGACTCCTCCTCCAACGTCAAGAAGAGACACTTCACTGAGGACAGACTCGTGTCAGTCAGAAGTCAGCATGGAGATAAACACACTAAACTTAAAGCAGATTGAGAAACACTGAAGATTATATGAAGCAGCAAACATTAAAATAATATAAAATAAGAAATAAATGCAATAAATAAATAATTATAACTAATTATTTTCTTTATTTTATAAATGTAGGAGTTTTTTAAAATCAAGGCTCAGATGTTATGAAAAACTGACATATTTATACTATTAAATGTTTTAAGGCATTTTTCCATAAAACAAGTAAAGCATTTTAAATGTCTAGTTTTTACATTTGAATACCACTGATAATATTTTGATCAAATTAAACCACTTAATTTTACTTTTATGTAAATTTCATTTCAATTATTCAATTACATGTTGAAAATATTGCACCATGCAAATACACATTATCAAAAATAATAATAATATCAAAGAATATTTGCTGAAATGCACTCATATCAAAATTGAATGAAATAATTGGACTAACACTAAAATACAAAAACTTACATTTATTATTGAAATTTGCAAAGCACATAAGATTATACATATATAAAATCAAATTAGATAAAACAGCACTTATGCAATAGTAATATAAGAAACTCTCAGTATCTCCAGTAAATACAATGTGATTTCATCAACAGAGACTGTGGGTGTGGCCACTGATTCATATGACCCCTCCCTCATTAGTTGACTCCTCCTCTACATCATCATAGTCTGTAATAGAAAATAAAATCAAGCTGATAGTTTTCAATCTTTTAACTGCATCATTGTTTAGATTAAAATGAGTTTAAAAGAGCAACATAAAACAGATATAAGATATAAAAACGTACCCAAGAGGTTTCTCTCATCTTCATTGTTGTTCTTCACATCATCATACTCTTCCTGATCTCCCTCTGACACAATAAAACCACATATTATAATTTGCTTTCACTGAATTCTTTTCCCACATCATGACTGTCTGAGACTTTTACATTCAGCCCTGATAAAGCCATGAGGATTCACTAATGCAAAAATGCATGTTTAGTATTAGCTGTATCATCTGTTTGACTCACCTGTTAAATGATCAAGGTTCTGTCCATTAATAATGACATCATCATAATACTCTGGATTGTCCACTACACATACAGGAAGATATAAATAAAAAAATGTTACAACATTATATCTGTACTGAGCATCACTTTAGATGAATAATGTTAAACATACACAAACAAGAAATAATTAAACAGTAAAAACCTTTTTTAATAATAGAGGTCTCTTCACTCATCATGACATCATCATAACTCTCAGGTCTGTCTTCTACAAATTTAGAATTTAGCATGAGACATCGTCACTCACATAATGATAAATATATAAATCTTCACAAATACAATATATTAAATAGTTGAAATATGTGATCCTATTAGAGAATAAGTGAAGGATACCTGTCTCTAGATCTGGCTTCAAGCCGTCAGCGATGACATCATCATAATATCCTGGAGTGATTTCCTTCACCATATTTTCTGCATTGAAAGTGTTGCATATTTAGAAATATTTTTGGAAATATTCTATAGATTTGCTGTTGCAGGTCTTACGATAAAGAATCGTAAACATTGAATGATGTCACTGACCTTCTAGACCACTGTTGCTGGTGACATCATCATAATAAGCCGTCTTGAACTCTTTTTCTAATATGTGAATATTTGAGTCATTAATCACACAGTTTAGTGGTGGAATCATATATTTGACAGTGGTATGAATTTTGTTTGTTATATAACACTGTGATGATGAATCAAATGATTTGTTTTAGCTATTAATTCGAGTATATTTTCACTCTCTAACCTGAGAGAAACTCGTCTGCATCTTCATACCCAGATTGCAGTTCTTCAGAATTGAATCTCCCTGTTGAAGGAGGAAACAACAGTCAGAAACAGGATTTAGTATTATAAGGTGTTGTGTGAGTGACAACATGCAAAAACATAAACATTATTTTATTATAAAACCACTGAATTCATAATTCACACAGATTTATTAGTAAACACACATTAACCCACTCCTGCCTTCGGGAAATATGCTCAGAAAGACACACACACACACATAAAACTGCACCTGCACATACCAACATATGAACCTCTTCTTATTACTCCTAAAAATACACACAGGAAGAGACTCTTACTGGCACGTGCACACACACACACACACACACACACACACACACACACACACACACACACACACACACACACACACACACACACACACACACACACACACACACACACACACACACACACACACATGCACCTGCAACTCTGTGGTTTTCTGTCAGGAATTCTGTGGTTTAGTGCAGGAGGTTTAACAGGCTAATAATAAATGAACATCAACTGTCTACAGACTCTCTTATTAATCATATTAAATGAGATTTAGATGCTCACCCCTGTGAGTGAAGTGTTTGTGTTTGTGCTGAATCTCCTCATAAACGGCCTCAGTGGTGGTTCTGTGTCTCCTCTTAGAAAGAGCTGTGAGTGTCGACACACAAATCTGCTGTCAGTTCACAACACATGACTGATCACACACTGAAGAAGACACAATATGACAGTCTCTGGATCTCTCCTACCTCTCCTCATCACTCTGTTCTGCTGAATCAGTATAAGCAGCGGCACTAAGAGCAGTAAGAGCACAACTCCCAGAACAATCACCAGCACTGGGGGGACTGGGAGAGTTTCTGGACCAGTTTGTGGAGGAGAGACTGATGTTGAGCTCACTGTCTGAGAAACTGCAGCAGAAGATGATGCTGATGTGGCAGGAGTAGTGGACACTGATATATCCGGCAAGTCTATTAAAACAGATTCAAAATCATGCAAATCATTCATTTTAACAAGAAAATACTGATAGCACTAAAATTATTTAAAAATCAAGCTAGCAGTGACCTGCACAGGTGAGTCCAGCGTGCTCTTTGTGGGAGCAGTTAGTGTGCTTCTTCAGGGAGAGAGGACAGTCCCACAGGTGAAGCTCATTTCCTCTGCACTGGACTCTGTTCAGCCACACAACACCTTCACCAGCACCAAAGGCTGAATTCCCATCAGCCCTCAGTGCTGCTCCACAACCCAGCTGCCTGCAGACCACCTGAGCATCGCTGATGTCCCAGAGATCATCACAGACTGAGCCCCACACAGCGTTATGGTATACCTCCAGCCTCCCAGAGCACCGGCCGTCCCCTCCACGCAGTCTAAGAGGAACATGAGCTGAAACACACATCAACATCAATGATCTGCTGCAGCACAATATTTACAGTATAACTAAATATAGATAACTTCTTAAATCTGTGACAAATTTTGAATGCAAATAATGCAACGCACAGATATGTTTACAGGTGCTGGTAAAAGCATTAACCAATCGAAAACTTACTCTGGTGAGATGATGCTGAACATGTCAGATGACTCCGAAGGGACTCGTCGCTCTTCTCCACTGAAATTAAAATATGAAACAATCAACGCTCTTTCCATTTAATGTTTCTTTATTCACATGTAATTGTGGAGTTTCCCTTTTAACTGTTCCCCCCACATTTAGTTCACATTTAAAAATATGATATATGCATACAGTCCTCTTGTAGCATATAAGTGACTCTTCAACAACACAAATTAACAATCCTGCAAATGAAAAGTACACAAATCTAAATATAACATAACAAAAATGTAATATATATATATATATAAACAGACAAAAATAAACATTAATAAAAGGGCAAATTAAATACAATAAAATTAACTGCAATGTACTTTTTTATCTTTAGATGTGAGATGTAGCAAGATAAATAAGAATGATAGCTGCCTATTTCTTGGCTGCTGTAGTAATTTGGTTGTGCTGAACTGTCTCTGTCTCTAAACAAGTCCAACTTGCGGGTGGCTTTTCCAGCGTCGTAATGCAAAAGGCATGGCTAATTCTAACCATGATGTGATACTAAAATAGTCTCTTCAAAAGGTTCTAGTTCATAAAAAAAAAATCAGTAGCAGTTTACAATTAGTATAAAACCTACTGGTTGAGACTCTGAGAAAGAGCTTAAAGAGCATCTATTATGAGGTTTTAAAAATGACCTTCCATGAAGTGCGTAACACAGCTCTCAGTGAAGTGAAATATCCAGGCTTAAATCTGAAATTGGATAGTGTTTAAAACTATATTGATTCATCTATAAAAGAGCTGACTCATAGTGGTTTGAAACATAAGCCCTGCACAATTGTTGCGCATGCAAACCCGGGAAAATTTAAACCTGCGGCCCCGCCCACTTACACAGTAGCATAGAAAAAAATGAAGACAAACAGATCCTGAAGTCATGAGTCATGGATATGCTGTACTTACCTGTATATTATTGGAAGTGTGCGGGAAAGTTAGTGTTATTTTCCCTACTCACAGATGAGGCTGTGAAGAGTCAGTGGTGGAAGATTAGTTTTGTAAAAATACCTCAGCATTATCCCAGCCTTGTGCTGTTCCTGTCATTTTTCTGAGGAGTGCTTCTGCAATCTACACGCTTACAATGGGAGATTCGTCGGACGTTTATTAAGAGAAGGATCAGAAAAGACTACTGATGTATGAGACTTTGACAAAGCTCGACAGGAACTTTATTAGGAACATGGATCAGTGGATCGTGGATCAGTTTCTTCCTCCATTTCATAAGTGTAAGTAAATGGCTGTCTCCTTGTTTTCTCTTGCTTGCAAATGATGTATTTAATCGTGTTTTGTTACTTGTAACCGCATGCACTGTATCTGGTTAACTCTTTATATTCTCATATCACATCTAAAGCCACATTGAAAATGCAACGAGTAGTGTTTTGTTTACGAATTTAAATGCGTTTGTGAGCTCATGATCACTGCCGTTTGTCATTGCTATGGCCATCGTCAGCTAATCCTAAACATGTGCAGCGGTCAAGGTTCAGAAGAGGTTCAAAAAGAGAACTTTTGCCACTGTGTGGATTAATACTGAATGTGTGTCATGGTTAAGAATAGAGCAATATGCTGGTGTTAAACTCTACTGCTTTAATGCACTCATGCACACGCAAAAAAATCTGGGAGACCGGGGGGTTAGGTTTGGGCTACTGTGTACTGTGTTGTTAGTAAGCTAACTACTATGAAGAATGTTTCGGGCGGCCGCTGTGATTGGATCCCATACCAGTGTTGGCGAGCCAGGGTATCACAGACTGTACCAAAATGCTGAGGTTCGGGGGAGGGCTGGTTAAAATTACGGGATGAATAACAAAACGGGTGGGTGGCTATGGATGGGTCAAATACAGGAGACTCGGGAAAAGCAGGAGTGCTGGCAGGTATGCTCACACACACTATGCATTGTGACTACTTCAATATTGTTGATAAGCCACGCTGGGCATTTCACTCTGTCTCCCACTGAAGGCTGTCGACAAATCTCAACAGGCTGTCATCGATCAGTGCATCAGTGCAGATTAGCTTCGCGCTAAGCAGGGGTTTGGGAACAAATGAATCGCTAAATGAATTATATGGGAGTCGCTGGGATAATTAGATAAAAATAAATGCATATTAAAAGACAATGAAAGTGTTTTTGACCTTACATGCATATCAGCCTGTTATTGGAGACCCTTAAAACCCAAATATGACCCTTTTTAATGTATAATAGGGGATCTTCAACTTTCTCTAATTTTAGAAGACCAGACATGTATTGCAGCCAGGCTTTAATTGAGGGTGGTTGGTGGGATTTTCACAAAAGTGGATTCTCCTATGAGCAATAAGTGTGGAGTTGGTGATTACATTACTTTTAATGGTTTCAATATAAAAATAACAATGTAAAGACTGATAAATAGTTTCTAAAAAAACACCTCACTGATAACAGTTAAGGGGATAAGGGAATATGTCTGATAATCAGAAAATAATAAATCAATTAAATACCATCAAACCTGAGCAAGTAACATTGGCCACTTCATCTTCATTACAGTAGTTTTGTCCCCAGGGTGTAGATGGACAATGCCATAAAGTAGAGTCATGTGGTCGACATTTAACTTTATCAAGCCAGTTAGGAGCAGATTTCAGTCTTGATGTAGAATCAGACAAAACTCCAGATCTTCCACAGTTCAGCTCTTGACAGATCAGACTCACTGTGTCTCTGTCCATCTGATTCCAGCACACATTTCCCCAGGATCCATTGTAGAAAACCTCCACATTCCCTTCACAGCCCTCAGTTAATCTGATCTCTTTAAACTCTACATGTAAACACATTAATGAAAAAGGGTCATTTTAAAATACCAAATCTAGCAACTATGCACCCATTACTATATTAATATATTTAATAAATTTTACTGAAAAAATACAGCAGCATTGTTCACCAGAGCAGACGACTCCTACATCCTCTTTGTGTAGACAGTCATGTTTTTCCCAGCCTGGAGAAGAGCAGCTCCACAGGGACGTCTCATTCCCCTCACACTCCACCTCATCCAGCCATATGGGTCCAGAACCAGGACCAAACCAGGCTGGTACCTGCTGGTTACTGAGGGCCACTCCACACTGCAGCTGTCTGCACACCACATGGGCATCTTTAATATCCCAGGAGTCGTCACACACTGTCCCCCATGAGCCGCTGTGAAAAACCTCCAGCCTCCCTGCACAGTCACCCCCAGAACCCACCAGCCTGATGGACCCGCGGCCTGATATTCAGAGAAAGAGAAACACATTATTGATCAGGAACAACTCCAGAATCTGCCCAGATGTTGTTGTTCTCACCAAGGCAGGTGATTGACAGCTGTTGTGTGGAGCTGCAGTTGAGAGTTTGCGGAGAGCTGCAGTTCCCCAGATGAGCTTCACTCCCAGAGCACTGGAAGCCCATCACACACTCATGACTGTGTTCAGGACTGGATGAAGAGGAGCCGGAGAAGTTGAGCACAGAGCCACAGCCCAGCTGTCTGCAGACCACAGAGGATTCAGTGAGACTCCAGGAGTCCAGCAAAACCTTCCTCCAGACCTGCTGGATCAAAACTTCCACCTGCCCCTCACACTGACTCTCTCCAGACAACCGCACCAGACCCTCATGAAGAGCCAGAGACGAGTCTGAAGATAAACAAGTGCCAGTTTATTAAGATATTAACACATGTAATTTTTGTAAGTTTATTTGTTTGCAATTATATGTCCTCACTAGAGCAGATGACTCCAACATCTCGTCTATGAGAGCGTTCAGCTCGACTCCATGAAGAGATTGAACATTCGGAGAGTTTTGTTTCATTCCCGTCACAATCAAACACATCAGCCCAGATTTCACCACTTCCCTCTCCAAACCAGTCTGATCCCACAACAGACACAGCAATCCCACAATTCAGCTGTTTACAGAGGACACTGGCAGCTCTCATATCCCAGCATGCATCACACACTGTGCCCCATTTACTGAGATACTGACGTTCAACTCGGCCAGAACAGGGGTCAGGACCATTGATCAGTCGGACATCAGTGTAACCTGGACAGAAACACTCTTACTTAAACATAATAGAATAGTTTATGGTAAAGAGAGCACACATAACAAGAGTAATTGTTAAATTATATCTGTTAAATGGTATTAGAGAGTTTACAACAATGATTACATGATTAACAATGTATTTATTTATAACGATGTTAAACATTTATACCAGAACACATCAGTGCAACATCACTGACATTGGTGCAGTTCATTTTAAGTAGTCCTGATGTTGGACAGTGTCGAATAATTGACTCATTTCCTCTGCAGTGAATCTCTTGTGTCCACATCTGAGTGTCTCCTTTGTCAAAAGCAGCAGCTCTCAGCACCTGTACAGGAGCCCCACAGTCCAGCTCTCTACACACAACCTCTGCATCCTGCTGGTCAAAGGCAGCGTCACACACTGTGTACCAGGTGTTTCCACGAAGGACTTCTAATCTCCCAGAGCACAGGTGAGGTCCATCAGCAAGTCTCGTAAATCGTCCATAATTTATGGTTTCTGGTCACATTTACACAACACAGAAACCATCTATCAGTATGATTATATTTAAATCTAATTGTTTAATAATATATTTTTAAACAGATGAAAGTGAGTAGTTTAAACTATTAAAATAAAATTTTTTCAAACTGCATACATTGTTATTGTGTATGAAAGAACGATCAGTCATGCATTAGGAGAGTTGATATATGAAGCAGCTCACCTGAGCATCTGACTCCAGCATCTTCAACATGACCACAGTAATGTTCACCCCATCCTCTTGAACTACAGCTCTTCAGTGTTGACTCTGATCCACTACAGGAAACTTCATTCATCCAGATTTGACCTGAACCTTGTCCAAAGTAAGCAGAACCCACAGCTTCTAGAGGTTCTCCACAGTTCAGTTCTCTACACACCACTGCAGCATCAGCCATATCCCACCTATAATCACACACTGTTCCCCACTGACCTCTATGATAAACCTCCACTCGACCACTGCAGGAACTGTCACCATCAACCAACCTGACCTGCTCAAAATCTAGGCATGAAAGAGAAAGAAATGAATCAGTGTTACCAAGTCCATGGAAAATCAGCTGCTTTTAATTACTTGCTGTGGGTTGTATTTTTAATTTCACAGTATTAAAATAAGATAATAACATTTATTTGTAGTATTGTATTTAGTCAAAGCATCTTAAAGGTGACCTATTATGACCTAAATCACTCTTATGAGGGTTTTAAACACAGCTGTGTGGAAACATTGTGTGAGTACAGCCAGCCTCTGATGGTAAGAATTTATTAATTATACTGTGGCGCAGTGGGTAGCATGTTCACCTCACAGCAAGAAGGTTGCTGGTTTGAGCCTCAGCTGGGTCAGTTGGTGTTTCTGTGTGGAGTTTGCATGTTCTCCCCTTGTTCGCATGGGTTTCCTCTGGGTGCTCTGGTTTACCCCACAAGTCCAAAGACATGCAGTACAGGTGAATTGGGTAAGCCAAATTGTCCACAATGTATGTATGTGATTGAGTGTGTATGGATGTTTCCCTGTGATGGGTTACAGCTGCGTAAAATATATGCTGGATAAGTTGGTGTTTCATTCTGCTGTGGTGACCCCAGAATAATAAAGGGACTAAGTCAAAAAGAAAATGAATAACTGAAAGGATAATTAATTATAATTTTTATAATCACACTTCATAAAAAACAGTCTGCAGAATTATTATTATATATGTATGAATTAAATCAGGATCACACATATATGCACATTGTCCCCAATTTGTTAATCAAATTAACTTGACAATACTCAAAATGCTAAATTATTACTTGTTGCTTCTTAAAATACTGAAGCGTACTTCAACAAAACATAACAAGATGTGCTTTGTTACTAAAGTATGAGTGTGATTGAGCATTTGTTTAATGGGAAACCTTAAAACAAGTTATTACAGCAAAAATAATGTTGTAAAAATATAAGGCTGGTCTTAAATTATGTCCCTGGTTGTAATTAAGCTAAATTTGCAGGTAAAATTACTCTTTAAGCTTTACTAACTAAGAAAGAAAACTCTTTCTCATTCTGATCTTGCATATATTGTACTCTTAAAACAAGATAAATAAGAATTTTGGACTAGAAATAGGATTGTAATTCTTGACTAGATAAGGAGTTTTTGAAGTGTGGTATATTTTGAGTTTTGCTACTATTGGGATATAAATTTGATTGCTCATCCGGTTAGTTTTTGGTTTGTTAGTAGTGGGCATTAAAAAGCATTGCATTCTGCTCCGATTGCAACTGCACCAAGTCTGCTTCCAGACCCCTCTCGAAACAATGGCTAATTTATAATAAAAATCTATTTGAATCCTTTATCTTTCCAGTAGTTTTAGCATTGTAAGTATAAACAACAAACATTAATAAGATTAACATTAAGATAAACATTAAGACATTAATAAAAACACTGCTATCTTGTGATTTGAAATCTGTAATTTTTTGATGTCATCTTTTACCTGCACATTTCAGTTCTACATTGTTTTCCTGAGAGCACTGTGTGTCATTCACGGTTGAACACAATCGAATCTGAGACTCATTTCCTCTGCAGTGAATCTCTTGTGTCCACATCTGAGCGTCTCCTTTGTCAAAAGCAGCAGCTCTCAGCACCTGTACAGGAGCCCCACAGTCCAGCTCTCTACACACAACCTCTGCATCCTGCTGGTCAAAGGCAGCGTCACACACTGACATCCACATCTGATTATGAAGGATTTCTAACATCCCAGAGCAGCGAGAACCTCCAACCAGATGGGTTTCTAAAGACAAGAACAAAATAACAATCAATGAAGATGCTTTATGTAAGATACTTAAATGACAGGAGGCAGAAGTGTTCGGAGACTCTTTACTGAGTAGATGCAGTACAGAACAGAACACACAACTATGGCCAGCACCTCCAGTCAACCAACTAAACTTCCCCTTTTCCGAGTGGGTTTCCTTCACATGCCCCTCCCCATCTTTGCTCTCTTAAAGGAGCTTCACTTTAGTCAATACTTTATAAGAAGATAATAAGTAGTGAGATTCACCAACAAGTCTTGAACTTCCATATAAGGATACTGATTTTATTTACACAGCACAGGTGGCCATTCATTACTATATATTATGATAAATGCATAAAACAGAAAAAAATTTATGTAAATGATCATTTTTAATACGCAAAAGCATTCAAAGATTCTGAGTTATTTAACCAAAGGGATTTGAACTGAAATAGGCAAACAAGCTTCTTTTAGTCATGCCGCCCCCTCATGCTGGAATACTCTTCGTTCTGAACTGAATATATCTGAGCTCATCCCGATTAAATCATTTCACTCTATTCTTTATAACACAACAGTTGATGTGTTTTTAACATATTGTCATGTGGTATGGCTGAATAACCAAACTTTATTTTTATATTATTTTAATTTTTTTGTTTTCATAAGTCATGTGCTGCAGACCTCTTGGTAATAAAGAATAAAAAAAATAATTATATATTTACAAATGAAAACCCAGTCAGTGATGCAATAACAGAGAGATATATAAAGCAGCTCACCTGAGCATCTGACTCCAGCATCTCTATCATGACTACAGTAATGTTCACCCCATCCTCTTGAACTACAGCTCTTCAGTGTTGACTCTGAACCACTACAGGAAACTTCATTCATCCAGATTTGACCTGAACCTTGTCCAAAGTGAGCAGAACCTACAGCATCTACAGGATCTCCACAGCCCAGTTCTCTACACACCACTGCAGCATCAGCCATATCCCAGTCTTCATCACACACTGTTCCCCACTGACCATGATAAACCTCCACTCGACCACTGCAGGAACTGTCTCCACCAACCAACCTAACCTGTTCAAAATCTAGGCATAAAAGAGAAAGAAATTAATCAGTGTTGTCAAGTCCATGGCAAATCAGGATAGATTTAATGATGCGCTGTGGGTTGTATTTTTTATTCCGCTGGTTAAATGTTTGACAGTTTGCATCTATTACATTTATATTTTTCCGTTAAAATATTTTCTCACTCACTCACTATCCTTCAGCATAGTCCTTGAATTATGAACTGCCAATAAAGCATCCAATACTGCATCCAATACCCTTCCATGTGCAACCCAGCATTGGGAAACACTCATACACTCTCTAATACATGCACACACATGCATACACTACAGACAATTTTTGTTTACCAAATTCACCATGAGTATATCAGAAACTAAATTAACTAAGTTAAATGTAAAACAATTGGTTAAATTACTGTTAAATGGCAATATTCAATAATTTCTTATATGTTGTTTCTGAAACTGTGGCTAATTTTCTCTAATCTCTACACTCTAAATAATAGCTCTCTAACTCAATTCCTGGAGGGTTGCAGCTCTGCACAGTTTTGCTTCAACCCTAATCAAACACAGCTGATCCAAATTAATCAAAGTGTTCAACACTAATAGATACTATTATGCAGGTGTGAGTTGGAGGTGGTTGGAGCTAAACTATGCATAGCTGAGGCCCTCCAGGTATGAGTTTGAGACCACAACACTAAATACTGAAAAAAGACCCACAACAGTCATAACGCCACATAACTCCTACATCAGCCTCCAATTATTTCAAATCCAGTTCTATCCTTTCCAGCTGTTTTAACATTTTATATGTATAAACAAAAAAAACTTTAAATTAGTAATTATTATTATTATAAAGGAAACAATTATAAAAACAAACCAACAGGCGATGAGGTTCTCCAGTGATTTGAACTGTTAATGTTAATTTTTTAATGACTGCTAAAAGATTTTAAACTTTTTACCTGAACATTTCAGTTCTATATTGTTTTTCTGAGAGCACTGTGTGTCATTTGTGGTTGAACATAATCCAACATGAGACTCATTTCCTCTGCAGTGAATCTCTTGTGTCCACATCTGAGCGTCTCCTTTGTCAAAAGCAGCAGCTCTCAGCACCTGTACAGGAGCCCCACAGTCCAGCTCTCTACATACAACCTCTGCATCCTGCTGGTCAAAGGCAGCGTCACACACTGACATCCACGTCTGATCATGAAGGATCTCCAACCTCCCAGAGCAGCGAGAACCTCCGACTAGATGAACTCCTGGAGAACAAATAAAATAGTAACAATGATGGTGCTTTA